AGCCAGCATGTGAAACAGGGCTGCTGTGAGACACTTCCCCGCAGGAGGGGCTGACTCAGCTCACCCCTTTCTGCCTGTACCCCAGCTTTAGAGAGGCCAGTGCCTCTCCTTGAGCAATGGGAGAAGATTTGTGGAGGCAGAAATACCTGGGTTTGGGCTCCTTCTTGTCCTGAGAGGATTCAAATTGCCGGTCTCAGGTGGCACCTGGTAACCAGGTTGTGCGGCCTCACCACAGCAAGGAGAGCAGGAAAACTCTGCCTTCATGCTTGGTGAGAGGCGGCTGCTCCAGCTGCTCTCCTGTATTGATTTGGCACATAAGCAGGCCTGGGTGCTTGGGCACCAAAGACAAGCAAGGACACGGCGTGTAATTTGGCAGGGATTTTGGCACGAGCGTGGGGAAGGCTGTGTACAAAAATGTCTGGCCCAGCCGCCGCAGCACTTGCCAGCGACGCTGGGTGCCCGGCATTCAGCTGCTGCACGAGGCCATGGCTGTTGCTCCCTCAGCCCGGCCCTTGGCAGCAGTGTCTCGTCCTCTGGAGCGTGCAGCCTGGGGACGGGGGCATCTGGCGGGGCAGTGTGTCCCCATGGGAGGGGACACGGTGGTCACACAGCACTGATGGCTATCTGCAGTCATCCCCATGTGCCACGGCCCCACAGCTCAGGGAGGGAAGGTCTCAGCACAGGGGGAAGAACCACGGTGGTGCTGAGCCCCAGCTGGGCTTTCTTATAGTTTCTTCTCTCTTTGACCCCTGAAGCTGTGTGCACCCATCTGGAGCTTCTCCAGGGCTCAGGGCATGTTCCTGCCAGCCTTTCCAGTTAGGAATTTGGGTCTAGAGGGGTGGGGGGGGCAGTATGGACCCTCCCTGTGCAGATGGGGACCCTGCCTGGTTACTGACAACCCTCAGGGATTTTCACCTCTTTTGGGGGCCCCAGAACCTCTGCAACAGCAAAGCTGTAGGTGCTAAGGTAGTGTTTTGCCTGGAGACTTCAAGACTTTGAGGTCTGCAAAAAACATTATCCTCTTGGACCGTGGCACGTCCATGCCTGTTCGGTGCTGCTGACTACTCCAAGCCTCTGGCAGCAAAGGCCATCCCTCGTCACAAGCAAAGCTGCTTGCTGTGGTAAGGTTTTGCATGATGCAAACTGACAGTCAGTATCTAACTTGCATGTAAAGAGGATGTCAGGCACCTGCAGGAGCCAGATCCCAAAAAGTGTGAGGCACACAGAGTCACAGAATGGTAGGGGCTGGAAGGGACCTTTGGAGGTCATCTAGTCTAACCCGCCTGCCAAAGCAGGTTCACCTAGAGCAGGTTGGACATCATCGCATCCAGGTGGGTTTTGAATATCTCCGGAGAAGGAAACTCCACAACCTCCCTGGGCAGCCTGTTCCAGTGCTGTCACCCTGAATGTAAAGAAGTTTTGCCTCATGTTCAGATGGAACTTTCTGTGCTCCAGCTTGCGCCCATTGCCCCTTGTCCTCTCACCAGGCACCACTGAGAAGAGCTTGACTCCATCCTCTTGACACCTGTCCTTTAACTATTGATAAGTATTGATAAGATCCCCTCTCAGTCTTCTTTTCTCCAGGCTAAATAGGCCCAGGTGTCTCAGCCTTATAAGAGAGATTCTCCAGTTACCTTTGTATCCTTCAGCTGGAGTCTCTCGAGGAGTTCCTTGTCTTTTTTGAAATGGGGAGCCCAGAACTGGACACAGTACTCCAGATGTGGCCTCAGCAGAGCAGAGTAGAGGGGGAGGATGACCTCCCTTGATCTGCTGGCCACATTCTTTTTAATGCACGCCAGCAGACCATTCAGAGGCCTTCCTGACTGCGAGGGTATGTTGCTGGTCCTGCAGATACAAGCAGCAATGAAGGGCTATTTGTGCCTGAAGACCCTCACCTGCCAATGCTGCTGGGTCCTGCTCTGCCCTGGGCGCTCCTGGACATGCACCCCAGTGTGGCTGCACGCCCAGTGAGCAGAGACAGCACCTGCGGCCACTGCGTGATGAAAACCAGCAGATCAATTCAAAAGGGCGGCCATCAGCAGCTCAGCGATCGATACAGCCCAGCCGCTGAGGCGGTGACCGTGGCATCCTTGCCACCTCCCTCCTGGCAATCGGGCGGCCACGCATGGCCTGTCAGCAGCCGCTGCGGAGCACGTCCCCAGCCACACGCACCACTGACCCCGAGAACAGGGAAAGCAGGTTTGGCTTTTGCAGCTCCTCCAAAACACGACATTTTCCATAAGTTAATTGGAATGTTGTTTTTCTCTCTCTTTTTTTTTTTTTTAACTTCTTTTGTTGCTGCTGGGTTTTTTTTGCACAGGTCAGGGCTCATATCGTACATGAGTGATGTGCAAAGGCTTGGTTAATAATACTTGAAGTTTTCACTTGTGGTATTTGCTGACATATCGCCTGCTGTAAGATGTCTGACACCAGCAGCTATTTCTAGGGCTTAGCATCCAACTGATAGTGAAGACCGGGACTGGCAGAAAATGGAAATTATTATCTAGCACTGGTATAGGAAATGACTTACCAGACAAAACAGCCAGCTAAGAAGCCCAGGTACAAATCCGGCGCATTTTATAAAAATAACAAGGTTAAAAACTTGATTCTGGCAACATTTTAACAGGAACCAACTGCCATGTTCTTGCTAAACTAGAAGAGACCCTCTGTGTTTCAGTTTTTGTGCTGTACCTCCTAAAAACATCTGTATTTCTTCTTGCCTGCAATGCTGGCCATGTTTCTCCTGCGTGGAGATATTAAATGTGCATTATTTTATCTTTATTACTGCTCTTCGTGTCTGCATTGGCTTCAGGACGGAGTACGGCTCAGAGGTAAGCTTTTATATCACAAAGAAAAAAATCTAACAACTCCCTCAGCCTTCCACACACATCAGCAAATAGCTCACAGTAGAAAATATAAGCTAATAAATCATTCTTTTAACAGAACAGCATTAACTTGTCCTAAAAACTTCTGATGACAAATAAGGAATAATTGAGACACAGAGCACTGGCAATGAGAAGGCTACTGCCAAGCACCCTGAACCCACAGGAATGCTAATGGTTTTTAAGCATTGTGGAGAGCGGGAGGGGAAGAAATGGATTTGTTGAAAAGCACGGTTCAGATCCTCGGGTGGTAGGCAGGGATGGAGCTCCAGCGTGGTGTTAATTGGTACAACTGCCTGGCAAAATGTCCCTAAAATAACAGGCACTCAAGTTCAAGATGCGCTGTTGTTTCAAATACACATTGTATAAACCAGAGAGGATTTGGTTTATTAAAGGAGGAGAGTGTAGAACCAGGGAGGAGAGGGGAACAACGGTATCTTTCCGCATGGGCACTAATCCGGCCAGCGGGCAACAGCAGAGCCCCCTTCCCCCCAACAGGCTGAGGGTTCTGATGAATTTAATGTTCTCTGAAGACTGTCTCACTTGAAATCAAACTCACTTATGACCTTTTCTCTGAGCAGCAGGACAACAAAATCCATAATGCAAAGGCAGTCAAACAGAAGATGAGGACGTGATTTTTTTTAAAATGAATGTTTTATTCATGAACTATTTATAAAAATGTGTAAAATACACTCAAATATATTTGATTTGTTGACTGTAGCTAAAAATATAAAAATATACTTAACAAATGCATAAATTAAATTGACAATAGTGGCACAATTCTGTGTTCACCCAGTGTTTGTTAGGAACACAAATATAAGTAATTATATAGCATATGAGAATGGAATATGTGCTGAAGATGTTTTTCAGACACTTTACTCCAGGCACTGGCAAAGAGTTTACAGCTAGCCACATTTCAAAATCGTGGGTTTCTTCACTATCAGATACTGTCCTGCTGTAGAGCAACATATATTTAGCTACTTGACGTTACTTACAGTATGTCTTTAGCTTTCAAATAAACCAAGAACCAACCACATAATCAGGCGTATCAACCTAACAGCATCATTGACACAGTTATGTGCCCAAATCCTGCAGTATTTGCTAAATTTAGCTTTTCCCTAGTCTCCAGTATTTCCTGCCAGTCTTAAAAACCCAATCCCAGTTCTGAACCAGCTGTTGATCTGCAAAATCACTGATAACAGACCAGTTTGGCCATAGCAGTGCTACCAACAGGTCAGGAGTTTGACTTCGTCAGCCTGAGGGACAGTCAAGGGCAGGGGAACTCCAGCAAGATATTTAAATATGAGGGCACACACTCCTCTTCTATTCAAAGCTGCAGCATCCTGGACCACACGTCCCAGAGGTCACAGCTCCACAGCCTGCACGGCTGTGACAGGGCCAGCAGGGAAGTGGTTGCCATTTTATGTTACATTATTTGCACACAAACTGCAAGAAATCTGACTAAACCATAAGCGACAGCCATGGCACTGCTCGGCAGCGAAGCTGTGGCTGCAGGAGGCTGTGTCTCTCAATGTCAGACGCGTTCCTTCGATCCGTGGCCCCAGGAGGAGATACTAATATAGTGATTAGATGGTTATTGTTCTCAACCCTCTAGCCCATATATTAACTAACTCCCAGGCTGAGGAGCATGCCTAAGTGCTCATGTATTCCTGCCTGTCTAGGATTTAACTTTGTGCTTTCAAAGTCAAAGCGTAAATAACCATATACAATACATAATATAAACTTAAAGCTCACACATTTTCTTTTTTCTGTTCTACAACTGAAAGGAAATTCATAGTATATCATGGCATAAAATAATATTTCTGGCAATTTTAGGCACGTATATAGGCTGTATAAATAACCATAGCAGCAGAGAAAAATGTATAAAGTTGCACTTCTATGACATCTTCACAGTATGCCTATTTCCCTCACCCACTTTTGTGTTCCATTAGTAACAAAAAATATCATTTATCAACTCCAGCTATGTAAAATCTTTTTTTTTTTTTTTTTTTTAGTTTCAGAGTATGTGATAGAGTGGTTGTAGGAATTTTCATTCTAAATGTTTTTCCCCAGAAGTAGTGATTAAACCCCAAGGTTATATCTTTTTTAACCCCCACCTTTTTAAATTTTTTTTTTTTTTTTTTTTTTTTTTTACAATCGGTAGTGGATTTTGTAATTGTATTGCACAGATTAAAAAAACATTTATTACTTTTTTTTTCATTATTAAATAACTTTCAATACAAAAAATTTGAATTAACCTAAAAGCCCAACCCTGCAAGTGCTTCAGAAGTGGAACGGTATTCTTCAGGTAAGCATTCCAGTTGACTTTCATGAAAGTCCTCAGGTAGCTTTGTGGACAACACAGAGGTTCACAAGACTGGGCTCCAAGTGTGCAAATCTTAGCTTATGGATCAGCGACAACACCAACCTTGCTTTATAACATTATTATTGGGAAACATCAAGAAGGGAATTCTGAGCATCATTCCTGGACATTCAAAACAGAAACATCCTCTTCAGTGAGAGATGTCTTTTTCCTTAAGAGTTCTCTTTGCTCCTTCGAGTCCATTCTTATTAGAATAACAATTTCCCATCAGTCCTGTTATTCAGCTTAGAGGCACAGTAAATATAATTAATTATGTTGATAAGTAGGTGTCTTATATTAACAAAATGCTACATAGATACTTTTTACCTATTCTCAGTGGATTTACACTGGTTTCATATGACCAGAATTGGCTAGAAAGCAGAACCAGAGCAATAATGTGTGTGTACAGTCTCACGCGTGACCTAGCTAGCAGCAGGTAAAGCTGCTCAAGAGCATTGTGCCAGTGTTTAAGGTCATCTGTCACGTTATTAAGTGATGAGGAGGAAGAAGCTTATGAACTGTTTCATTATCATCTGAGAGAAAAGATGAAAATAGCTGTCTGCTACGACATCATCGTTTTGGGTGCAGATTTGTGAACTCCATTGGTGCAGAGGGAGCCAAGAAACAATGTCAAAATAAAGAGCAGAACAATGTGTGACTTTCTGGAAATGATGAACAAGTTGCATACATAGTATACAATCACACTTTTGCCCTCAGATCATATATTATTGAGTGAGTTCCATTTCCCTCAGCATAAAAAATGACACAGTGATATATAGCATGAGATAATTTATAAGGGTACATATGGTACGTCTTCACAGTGTAATTGTACTGCTGGTAACTAACATGGTGCTCTTCATTCCTCAGCTGCCGCTGCAAAAAGAAAGGACTAAATGCAGCGCACGTAACACAACAGCAATTTTCATGATGCCCTAAGTTCAGCTGTTATTAGCAAGGTCAATGATCGATCTAAAGCTGCCATGCCTGTTCATCCTTGCTTGCTAACCTAGAGTCTGTCTAGCAAAAGAAACACAGAAGAAAGGGGAAACGTGCAGAAAATATGCACGGTTCTTTGTGGTTTTGCTGAGATTTCCCTCTGTGAAAATGGCTAGTGTATCTTGAGGTTTGTGTGGGGCCAAAGAGGATGTACAAGATGAAGGAGAAGTATTTTCATACAGAGACACCTGAAAGGTTAACCAAGCTTACACGTTCTAAGCATCTGTGAAAGCTGATATGAAGGGTGGCTTCTGAGGCACATGATGGTATTTCATCAAGAAAGGATGAGACTCCAGATGGAGTAAGAAGGAAGAGAGACTATCAGGCTGTTCCCTTTTCTCTAGGAAAACCAGAGTGACACAGCTGTGCATAGTCCTGCTGGTTCAGCTTTGGAATGATTTAAGAAAACTATGTCAGAGTTGCTTTGCCATCTGATTTCTTCAGCCATCATCAGGCAGGTGTTACTACTGCAAGGAGAATGTGGCTCCAGTAAGTCATGGTGAAATTACAGTAGTCTTGGCCCAGGGCCACAGCAGTTCTTCACTTAGGCACTTAGGTGTATTGGCTGGTTCTCTGGAGGCATTCAGAAGTATTCATTTCTCTTCAAAATGAAAGTGGAATTTAGGCACTTGTTTTTAGCAGCAGGCTAAGTTTTCTCTAGGCAAACTATGAGTAGATATATATAAAAGGAGAACTATCAAGCCCTTCTTTTTGTAATGGAGAACAACTGTGTGCTACCTCTTCTCTATTTGCATGAAGAACATTTTGTCAAGATAAAGAACAGCTGAACAGAGTATTCAAATCACTCCCTTGAATGAGAAGCCTCTTTGCAGAGGAGAGAGGATGTGCCTCGTTCGCTTGGCTGGGCAGGATACCCGGTGAGTGCTCTTCGATTGTACCTCTTGCTAATCACAAAATGCTTTTGAGTCATCCCATGATTAGCAGAACCTTGCCAGCCTACATCGCCTGGTTTACTGATGAGCCTTTTTCTGTTCCAACTGACCTTGTGGTGGTGACATCAGGCAACATCTAAGCAAAGTAGTCTTTCTATGTGGACATGCTGGGGCCAAGCTTTCCCTTTGTGAAAGCAAGTGGCATTTGAAGGAGTCCAACACTTAGGCCAAGGCAGCCATGCTGCTAGCAGCTTCAGGCCGAAGCCAGTTGTGTAAACTTTATATATCTTTATTTCAATATGTTTATAATCTACTTTTTTAGCTGTTGCGATACAGCATTGTTTTTAATGAGCTATGGGAGTTGCCAGATTTCCCATCCTTAGAGGTCTGTTAATTGAAATGTCTGAGGCTTTTCCTCAAACACCTTTCTCATGATAATTGTACGCAAGTGAAAATGCACAGACACAGGCTGTGCTCTGATTCTGCTCTCTTAAACCAGTATAAAGAAATTAGGATGTGACCTGTCTTCCCTCAACGCGTGTAAGGGGGAGGAAGGTCTGCTAGACTTCACTGCAGCGTGTGTTGTTTGATATTTTTCTACTATGTCACATTAGACTGAAACAGTTGCTTCTAGTGAGGTGGACCTGTTTTGTTTGGCTGTTGATGAGTTCTGTAAAAGGTATGTCATTGTGTTACGGGTTATGCCCATTTTCTTCAGATCACAAGCAGTTAAGTTTAAAGTGTAGAGTAGCGTTGTAATTCCTATACAGGACTACTGTTCCCTTGCTTAATAGTAGCTTATTTCATCTCACAAACACTGGACTAGTTAAAAAAAAAAAATGAGGTTCTCCTTATAGGATTTTTTCCTGTGTGTTACATGCCATTACATAACCTGCCCCAAACGCAGCAGTCCTGTTAGCCATACAATTTAAAATAGTTTATGTAGAACAGTTCATAAAAACTGTGATAAGAAAAAAAATAGTATAATCTGAAGCTTAATATTAATATAAACAATATAGAAAAAATACATATTTACATAATGCCAAAATACAATTATATACATTAATATCTATTACACTTAAATTATATATCTTTTTAAAAAATCACCAGACCAATAAATTATACACAGTCTCAATAGAAAGGTCTGGTGCCTTTCTAGTGCATGAAATACATACATTAAAAAACCCAAACCAAACCCCTAGATAACAAATGTGGTCACAAAAGCAGTTGTCTGTAACATTCTTAGTGCCTTGAATAAACAGCATCTGAAAGCAAGGAAAACTGAGGTTAGAAAAAAATGAAACAACCCGGGTGGCTTCACATTCAACTCCGCCAGCTGACTGCAGCGCTCTGAAAGGTGGCTGACTGACTCTGAAAACTTCTACAGCCCTTAGGAATTAGCCCTACCAGGACACATAAGCCACCTTTTTTACATCTTCTCCAGACTGGTCCTCTGGCCACGAGAGCAGGACGTGAAGGGCAGTTCTATTGCCAGGTTTACTGCTCTGGCAAGTCTTGTCCCCAGGGGACGGCATACAGGATAGGAAAAAGAGCCCAGAAGGGTGGAGAGCTGGGGGAGGAAGAAAGAGCACAGCCTTGGACACCTACATTATCCATTTAAGGCAGATGGAAAGTCTCCTTAGGCCACCTATGTGGTCAACAGCAAATGAGGGGGATTCAGGACAGAAATGGAACTCCGTGAATGACAGAAGAGCCAGTGAGCCCAGCCAGTGGCCTCAGTGTGGTGGGAACACTGATGAGGTAAAGGAAGAAGCCAGTATCATGGTAGGGAAGGGGTTCAGTTTCCCCAGCAGCATAGGAATCATGAAGCATGTGCAGAAAGAGATAGTATAATGACTACTAACAGAGGAAATAAAGATGCAAGAGTGACGAGAGCAGAGTAGTGAAGAAATGAAAGTCCAGGAAGAGAACAAATATTCATGGCAAAGGATAGCACAGTTTTTTGCCTCAATTACATTGTCAATGATCTATTGCATTTGAAACATTTTACAATTTGATAAACTTGCACTTACCTCTGTGATACTCTGGATTCACATTTTCATATATTGGAAACAAGGGATTTTCTTGTTCACTGCGAAGTTTTCTGGCTCTTAATACATCTCTTACACATTGATGTAGATACACATATTGACACTGCAAAAGAATTTTTTTTAAGTCACTCTGGGAAATTTTGTAATTTAATTTTCTGTATTGTGAGAAATCATTAATGGCTAACTCTCTCACACAAAATCAAGGGTGGTGTTAAAAATGAAAATACACTTCTAGAATTAATCTCCTTTTCACACTACTAATACAATAAACTTTTGTGATGCGCTTGTTTTTAGAAATGCCACCAGTAAAACACAAACCAACATAATATGTTCTGACGGATCACGCCATGAGTGAAACCTCTATCAACTGTAAGGCATAATTTGACGTGATGCTGTGTTGGATAGTTACTACTTCTGAATGCTTTAGTATAAAGTCCATGCCAAAGAATTAATATGTACAGGGAAGCACACAGAAGAGACAAACAGTTTCCTGATTTTTCTCTCTGAAAGGAAATATTTTCCACAGAATTCTATCACAATATATATGAATATTTTATAGCATTTTGGTGAACCCAAATTTTCTGACAAAAAGCAATATTTATTTGAATCGAATCTATGTTATAAGATTGCTTCTGACTACCCAGCAAACGACAGACTGTCTTTTCTGAAGAGTGCCTTTCCTAGAAGGGAGCTAAGATGACATTCACAATCAAAGTAGGGAGGGTCAGCATGTTATTGACTATTTATCAAACGATCTTGATTGTTAAATCCTCCGTGGTTTATGACGAGTCATTATTGTTTTTTGTTTAGTGCAGCACGGAACCCCAAAATTATGCTGAGCACCTTTATATATTAAGGTGTACCTTTTAAATATTACTTTCTCTCAAAGACATAATTTCTCCAATAAGCTTATACATTTTCTCCCCACACATCTTCTATTTGATTTTCACAGGAGTTACTGCTCTGTGTGTTTTTCTCAGTGCTCTGGCTCTGGGAAAGTGGGGATAAAAGCAAATATAGCATACACGGCTGCTGTCTCTGTGGAGAAATCCTGCACCCCACCCATCCACCCGTTTGCTTGAAAGTTGGCCAAGCCATGGAGACTTCCTTTGGCAGAGACCATTTAGGACTGAAAGGGTGGACAGCTTCTCTGCCTGTGTTACAGCTGCTGTGCTGAGCCCACCGCCTTTTGAGCTGACAGACAGTTTTCTGTTACTCCCCTTTATGTCTCCAGCTGCAGTCTCTTGTCTTAAACAGCTTCCAGCCAAATCTGAGGCAGGGGGAGCATTTTGTTGCTGCTGTTTTGCTGTGACTGCGTAATGTCGAGCAGGACAGTGCTGGGACCTTTGGCTGGAGCATGTTACTGCAAACAGTCCTGTGCTCCCCAGTGCAGGGATTTGGCTTCCACCACATCAACAGATGGGGACCTAGCTTTTATGTCAACCCCCAGACAGATTGTGGAAGCCAAGACAAGAACAATAACACCAGGAACTAGGGTCCTCACACACATCAAATGGAGTTTGTGGAGCAGATCTTTTCTTCCCTCTCTCCTCATCTTCTCTACTTTTTTTTTTTTAAAGATGTCTAAGAATTACTTCATAATTCACGGTTCATTGAAATCTTTGAATCATCATAAAACTCCAGGATAAATTGATTTCATTTTCTTGCAGGAGGATGAGAGTTTATATTGCTTGGGCTCCAAGCTACCTTGATAAAAGACAGTTCCACATCAGAAACCATATACAGATGCAACTGACAGTTCAGATTAATAAGACTTGCTGAGAACACAGCAGCTCAGTGGCTGTGCACTGACACAGCTACATGGTCAGTCTCCAAGCCCGTCACAGCTCAAGTGGGGTGAGTACGTGTGAGCTGCAAAAGCTTTCTGTCGATCTGTCTCTGGGATTCTGCTTGTGAACTCTTCCAGTGGCAGGACTGGTTACAAGAGGGATCTGGGGATCTGGGTAAGTCTGGAGCCACTGCTGGTTTGGGACAGAAGTGCATGTATTGCTGGCAGTGGCATAGTGGGGTGCTTCTCACTATTGCTCTAGATACTTTGCTTGGGTCCTTTTGACTTCGATGTCATGTCAAGCTCAGGCCAAAGTTCAGCTCTGTAACACATAACTTTAGTTGTCCATTCGCCTGGTGTCAAATTTAGATTCTTGAGGTAGTTGGTTCCAATTAGGGAAAAAGAACCACCCTCCGGAAAGCCTTTGCTGACTACAGCTGATGGGAATGTAAAAGGTGAGATGGATCTGTCTCTCCTCCAACAGGAGGTCTTCTGTGATTAAGAGAGTTCCAGGAAATCTCTCTTTTGCATTCCCAGTTAAGCCCATGTGTGACTTTTACATCTATCAGGAAGCTCAGTCACTGATATTTTCATTTCCAAATTGCAACAAAGAGCACCATTAGTATCAAGCTACAGGCAGACCCATAAAACCTGTCCTCTGTTAACAGCAGGGAAAATGTGAAGATTGCCTCCACAACTCGCCTTTATTAAATCAGCTCCTAAGTGTTTAGTTGCTATTAGTGTAAAGTGATGTTCTTGCAGTTTTAAAAGCACAAAAAGAAATCCCAAACACGTACGTTTTATGCACTTTAAGAATAAATGCACTTGCTTCTGCATAGTTATGTTAGGGGAGTGCTGATCAACTTTCCAATACCATTAATGAAAATGGACAGAGCAGCTCAATAAAAAATGAACTGCAAAGCCACAAGGTCACAGTACCTAGAGTTTTAAAATTATGTACATCTAATTTCTTCTGCCCTCCATTCCTTTTCTCTATTATGTCAGCCTATCTGTCTGGTTTAGGCTTGTCTTCCAAGATCATCCCGAAGGACCTATCTCTGCTCAAAGCTCACTTACAGGACACTTCATTAACGTGCTTGTTAAGTGTCTGCTGCATAACACTGCTGGGGTGTTCGTGGGCCAGTGCCAAAAGGAGGAATCTATAGGAAGCATAGCTACTACTTGTTATGGTTGGATCTGCTGTATGAGAGCCAACGGAAACAATCCTGAACTAGAAATTCTCACAGAGCTAATATACATAACCGGTATTTCACAGTGGAATAACTGTGAGGTGCTTTAAAAGCCTTTAAGATGAGAGACTAATTAATTTATACTGCAGCCGGTGTTGCTGTATTGTAGGCTATCCAAAACTTACCTCTGTCTGAACCATGTGAACCCGGTGAAGCCTTAGATCATGCACTGCTGCATAAATGTCGACAGTGTCCTTTGAATCCAGCTGCTGCAGGATTCGATCCAGTGCAATGAATGTGCCAGTCCTGCCGACACCAGCACTGGGGAAAAAAAAAAACACTTGAAAGATTTAAAAGGAGATGGATCAAAGCATTCACTCTCTTCATGTGATACTTTTGTAAAGATCAGATCTGTAGGGTGAGAAGCTCTTTTTTAAAAATGGTATCCCTGGGACTTCAAACACTTTATAGTGGAATTTGTTTAGAAAGGTGTGGCAGTGTGCTCTCCCTGGTTTGCCCCCCCCCTCCCTCTCGGCTCCTGCCCGGCCTTGGCCACCACGGCCATCACAACAGCAGCTGTGATAACTTGCACGCGGTCTCTGGGGGATGGCTGGCAGCATAGTCAAAATACTGTCTGGAGTGGGGATCTAGAAATTTTGTTGCCATGAAAATATGACTATAGGTCAATTATCTTACTGTATAAATAATGGACAGCCCAAAAGCCCCTTTGAGCTCCTGTATGGCAGCGGGCTGCACGCCAGGATCTCCCCTTTCGTGAGGATGCTCACTGAAGGTTCTACTCCTCGAGGTTGAGAGATTCCTTGCCACGACAAATTCTCGGTTCTGCTCCTCGAGGTTGAGGGATTCCTTGCCGCAACAGATTCTCGGTAAGTGACTAATAGCATGCTAAACTTTGAAATTTTATCTAAGTAATGTAAAGGATTGATTGTGCATATATAATCCTTTAGACATAAACCGTTGACCAAGTCTGGGACTAGGATTGGATCCAGCCGCACCTAGACTCCTCTCTGAGAAGGAGTTTAGAAAGCAAGGGGGTCCTTTCTGAACCTCGTGACTCAACGGGAGGGCCTCCCTGAGAGTTTGCCTGACCCTGTCCTCTGTGCAGTAAATAATAGAGTGTACCCTGACATCGAATCTTGTAAACACTATCGCATTTACTACTGGTTTTATCACACTACTGGTTTTGTTAAATCACTGTTTCACCTTAATAAATATTTCTCTGCTTCACTCTAACTAGTGAAGTTAATCACTCCGTCCACGACAAAAGGAGGAAAGGATAGTGATGGTAGAGGTATCTCTGCTACTGCCCATACTGCCTTCTGCTTTGGATTAACTCAGTCATTGAGATAGATACACTGAAAGACTGCCCCTGGGTGTAACTTCTAAACCTCTTCTCTCCAGGGCTGAACCAGTAGGCTTGACTCTAGAAGATGGGTTGACTTGTGCCTTGTGAAAGGGCAGGGTAAGGCAAAGTATCGCAGAGTCCCCAGCAGCTAAATGCTGGGAGGTGGGGTTTGGAGACAGGAGGCTGGGAAGTGGAAAGTTCACCTGCCAGTGATACAGTAGACATCTAACTTGTTGCAGCACATGATGTACAGGTGATCTCATGTAAGATATCTGTCTCAGCCCATATAAAGTGTGGAGGGCTCAGATACTACATTCAGGTAGTACCAGTGAGCACATGGCTTTATCAGAAGATACGCACAGCACCACGCTGCACTGCCTCTCTCACCCTGTAACCCTATGGCCTGCTGCAGCTGGCCAGTGGATCACAGACTAGGCAGTTCAGTTTTGCTTTTTTACATGTGTAAGGGCAGATCATGGAGCAGAGGAAAAGAACTGCAGCCTTATGGCTGCCAGAGACGGCACAACAGCAGAAGAGCATGACAAAGTAAGCAAAGGGAGTTTCAGTCAGAACAGGGGGAAAGATGGCTCTGCCAGCTAGTCTCAACTTCCATATGTTGTCAGATTCACCCCTGGGTGAACACCCTTTGCTGATTCAGACGTTGTGCTGTAACAGCAGCACACAGGCAACTGAAGAATGCAAAAGCATGTGAAGAGTGGCAGCTGCTGACACCTTTAGTGCTGCCCAGTGATCCAACAGACACACAGTGGTTCCCTGAGAATCATTTTTGGGGCATCTCCAGGGTGAGGCTGTGAGTAGCTGTATGTGCCTTGGGAATGCTGCTCTGATGTATACTGAGACTTAAGCCCATCAGCTATCTCTTGGGTTCTGTGGCTGCCCATGGCCTAACAAGGGTGAGTATTTGGGATCTTCCCAAAGGTACGCACAAAGGCTCAGTGCCAGTGACCTTTTGCTGCTGCACATACCTGCAGTGCACGATGGCTGGTCCTGTGTTTGGGGTCCTGTTGATATAATCCCTTACAGTTCTGACAAACTGGATCAGGGACTGGGTGGTCTCTGGCACACCATGATCTGGCCAGACAGTGTAGTGGAAGTGACGAATGAGCCTCGTTGAGTCAAGCTGCTCTTCCTGGCAGGATACAAAAGTGTGGGTCATCAGAACAGATGAGAGAGGAAGGGATACACACAGCACGCACCTTCAGAGTGAATGCTACAGCTGCCACCAGAGATGAGCTGGGCATGATGCAACTGTGCTACAGCATAACAATCCTTCCTAATTTAGCCCTGTCATTGTTTTTAAGTCAATTTATTAAAGAAATATGACACCGTTTTTAAGCCAATTAATCAAAGAAATAAAAAAAAGAAAAAAGATGTACACAAACATACACTGCAGATTTTAAACTCTCGTATTGTCCATTCTGGGAGCACTGATTCAGACAGCATTTCAACGATCAGGTCTCCATAGTACAAGGAATCCTGGTCAAGAGGCCAGTAGTGATCACACTTCACCTGCAGGGACACAGAAAAAGATAGATTTAGTGTCAGTAATGGCTGTAAACATCCATCCAGCACTGGCAAAAGCAGACTTCAGACCTCCTGTGCCTGAGGATGAAGGAAGATCGACAGCAGCTGAATTCAGGGAGAGATGCCACCTCATGCTGTGTCAGCTCAACAAACAGGGCCTGGGATGGAAACAGGCTAGGATGGGGCCAGGAAGTGGAAGTTCTCATCATAGATGTTTGTGAGGGGGGAATGGGAAGCATCTAACTGATGCCCTCTTCTGGATCCCACAACATACTCTACGCCAGCTCTTCTCAGAGCTCTGCTTGGATGACAGCTAGGCCTACAGTGCCCACTTCCCCACCTCTCGCTGAGACATGACAGTGGGTCCCACTCAGAGCCAGTGTGCAGGAGGAGACAAGTGACTGCCTGTCCTGCATCCGCTTTCACAGTCTCCTCAAGAAAAAAAAGGTAAACTAAAAGGAAATATCCCCATATGTGCCACTAGATGATCGCTACTTCATGTTGGTTTAATCTTTTTACAGAACTAGTGCCTGCCTTACACAAGGTGCAGGATTTGATCATACCTGGGGAGGTAGATTGCTGAGACAGCTAAATAACCTACCTACATTTGCACTCAGTAAGACTGTTAGGTGCATGACTGGTCTTTGCTTACTACATCAGGGTTTATGCATCAGAGAGAATTCCATGTATTTAATGATCAACATTGGCTCTCTAGAGCTTATATTTAAAGTAGTAGTTGATTGCAGTTGATGCGATAAACAGGCATTTTTTTTGCTGGTGGTTGTCTTCTGCATACTTGAAGGGATTATATTAGTACTAGTGAGCAGAAGCACTGTTCCTAACTCTAGCCTTGATGTGCTGCATGATCTTGGGATGGTCACTGCATCCCCATTTCACAGCCTTAACCTGTCTCCAGTCTTTAGATTATACCTCCTTTCTCTTGCTGTGTATCTCCTTGACTGGGGCCTTTAGCATTAGCGTGATGCAAATAATAAACATAAACTTTTAATAGGTGTTAAAACAGTCATTAATAATATAGAATAATATAGAAGAGTCACTGCTCACCCGGCCCTTCTCAACACACTGGGTTACCATGACAATATTGTGAACATTTTGTTCCCATGCCATCTTCCAGAACTCATCTTTGGTACCAGGCAAAGGGCCCTGAGTTGCTATGTATTCCCTGCGGAAATTATTGCCCTGCAAGTAAAGAGAACTCCATTAGTTTCCATAAAGGGAGAAAAAAAAAAGATCTAGCAACTGTACAAGCCATGGGGTTGCATCCAGGGCTCTGCAGCAACAATGCCCTTGCTGGGACAATAGTTTTGAGAGCTAAACTGTTGTCTTGGACCTGGAAGCAGAAGGCTGGCTGGAGCAGAGAGAAGGAAGAGACTGCAGCAGTGTATCTAAATACTGTTCCTTTTGTGGCAGTCAAAGCTTTTCTTTGTTCTACTGTGTTCAGCAAAGTCTCAAGCAATTTTGGATCGACTAGGGGTTTTTGTTTTATTTACTGTTTTTAATAAATTAGCTGAGCTCTGGCTTGAAATCTGGATTGCTAAAGCCACTGCTATTATCAATCACAACTCTCTGGCAAAGGGCATTATTGCAATCTCTGCCAGTTTCACCATCCCTGCAAAGTGCCAACACTGTCAGGATGAGATACAGCTCCACAATGAGGATGCCACCTGCAGTGATAGCTACAGTTGTTGTGGACACTGTATAAAATCAGTGACCTTTAAAAATGTGTCCTTGGACAATTAGATGTGCTATCTTACATAAACATAGCAATTCAAGAAAGTGTCCTTAAGTGCTGGCTAAATCACTCACAGTTAACTTAATGGCAGCCAGACACAGCCTTTCAGCACACCCACAAAATGAGTTCTCAGACTTTTAGCTCAAGTGAATAAATGAAGGGGGAGGGAGCCTTAAGCTTTATATTCAGTTTTAGATGAAGGACAAGTTACCACTGGAGGGAGGACTGTGAAATACCATCCTTGAGTCACTTACTGGTATGTAGCTTGCATTAATGTAGTCTGAGCAAGGGTCATCGTCCACATTGGAAAGCTTCACTCTTGATGTATCATCTAGCAAGAAATTGATTACAAGAGGCTTATGGCTCGGTCTTAATTTTCAACCCCTCTCCCATTTACAAAAATGCATTCATGAAAGGACTGGCAGCCTTATTACAAGGATTTTATATGGAGGGCTAATTTAGAGGAATAACTGTTTATATTTGTACTGCTTCTTTCATCCATGAGTGCTGTGGAGTGTTCCAAAGACTAGAAGATGGATGGATGGATGGATGAGAAGGAAGGAGTGAATATCCAAGAATTCCTCTGGTGAGTTGCATAGGATTTGTTATGGCAACAGAAGAGCCACAAAAGCATCCTCCTTTGACGCCGACAGCAGTGCCCAGTGCTGCCATTAAAAGAGTGGTAGTGCTTCAGCTATCATGTGCGAGCAGGCCAGCCCTCTTTCCTGGGACCAGTGGCATCTCCAGAGTACAGAGCGGTACAGAGTGCCTAAGCCACCAGGTGACTGATTTGTGAGATAATGCTGGGTTAGATCTCAGTCAGGCCTTGTTTCTTGTACACCGTGGACATGGTCCCCGGCTCGGCCTGGCAGGCACAACACAGGAGATGCTGTGAGGCTGTGCTCCAAGCGCATACCACATCCAGCAGCTGGGTGGCATGTGGAGCAGCTCGTCAGGTGGTGTTCCTCCTCGATGCACAGCATGGGTTATCTCCAAAACTGGCAGAGAGGAGATTAAAGGGGGAAATTCTCAACTACAGGTCTTGCCTCAGCAGAAGAGGGCTAATCTCACACGTGTGTCTTACCATGCAGAACCACACTAGTGCTAGATCGTGTAGCTGTGTCCTCAGAAGATATAAGATTTGGCAAGGTCGTCAAAAAGCACTGAATGGATGACATCCTATATGTAAACAGCCCTACTGTTATTTCTACTACCCTTGTTATCAGCAGTGACTGAATGCCCGGAATAGCTGGAGCTTTTTCTCTCCAGACTGAGTGCTAGTCATTACATCTCTAGAGTGAAATGAAATTACTGGTTTGTGTGAAACCATCCAGGGCCATACATCATCTGCCTCCAAGCACCAGAACCTGAGCTGGCAGAGGTATTTCATCTCTGACAGGAAGGAGGGAAGGGATTGGCTGCACTCTCTTTTCCACTAGGCTTGCTGAAAAAGGTGAAAAATAGCTGTTGTGATGTAACATTACACAACCAAACCTAAAACTCACAGGGCAATATATTATTGTATCGATTCTTCCCTCTGTTCTCTGGCAGAAGTGCTATGTCACACGTCTGGTTTCGACCCACATCTTTTAAGTCCTGCAAAAAAAAGTAGAAATAAAATGTGAGGTGAAAATAATTAAAGGACGTGACAACACAGAGGACCGCAGTGCTTATCAGCTCTCAAAGGCCACGGACAGAGAATGGGTGTTTTTTAACACAAACAAACTGAATTTAAATAGCTAATCATAATGGTTCAAAGCAAGCACATGACTGGCAGGTGCTTCAGCCAGACAGGTATCAGGCAGAGGCTGCCAACCAGAAGATGCTATGCAAGATAAAGAGCTGATTTCTGCATTAGGACAAGTGGAGTTCAGGTGAGACTCTCAAACTCATCTGGATTTGTGTGAATAAGCCGAACAGATCCAGGTCTTTCTAACGCATTTCTAACCCATCGACTCAGCCAGCCCACCCCTTCATAAAGCAGGTCCTTTGCCTGGATTAGGATCCTACCTCATACTCCTTGGACAGGAGGTAGTTGGAGTCTGCTTGAAGTTTGGTGAAGTGTGCTTCAAAATGACTGACTTTGATCGGACTGAAATATTCAACAGGAGGAAGAAAATCACAGGATGAATTACAGTCACAATTTATCCAGTTGGTTATCAAGAAGCTTTTTTAGGTACTAATTTTTCTTCTTACCTGGAAGTTTTCCGGTTCCTAAAAATGATTTCAAAAAGAAGAAGAAACACTTCATCAGTGAGTGACTAGATGTGACTGTTTATCCACAATGCCATGTTAAAACAGTGCTTTTAGAAATGAAACTTTTGATCTTACCCTTTTGGTCCCAAGTTCAGATGGACTGCGAGTGGCCTGTCCCTGCGAATGCTCAGCCTTGCTGTAGATCTTTCATGGCCGTTGCTGGAATAGAAAGGAAGGTATTCTGTTTTACTGTTACGTTTTCATACTGATAAGAGCTACCAGTAACATAACTTACATTATTAAGTTGGAAAAAGGAATTTAAGAAAGTCTGTTTTGATTTGTGGCTGATCATGTGACATTGCTCCTAGCTGTGGCACAGAGTTTTCTTATATTTTAGTTTGGTAACGGTGATGCTGAGTGTACGCATGTGCACAGGCAGTAAGACTTTTTTCTTGCTCTGAAACACTCACAACCCAGCCTATTGTTAAGGAAGGTGTTCTGTGTGAAATTGGCTGATTCTCCATATGCAGAGAGGAACGTGGAGATTAGATTTCCAGAGGCTGCAGACCAGGCTTCTACGACATGCCCAATTTCACAGCAGGAGTAAGTGGCAGCACCACAGTGGGCTTTGGGAAAGCCACAGAGGTGGTACTGGCTCCATATAGTTAGTGCTGCCTTTCATCTTTTCACTGCCATCTCCTTCAATACACCTCCCTTAGAGAACGACTTTTTTAACATGATAAGGGAAAACCCTACCAGCACTGGCAGTCCGGCTGCCTATGTAACTCACAACAAGAAATCACACCCTCCCTGAAGTTTATCTACACCAAAAAACTGCAATGAGATGTGCAAGGTGGAAAACACATCAACCTGCACTCCAGCCATGCTCTATATGTCACTATGTACTGAAACGGAGTGCACAAGCCTATACATGCAAAAGAAGACTTTATTTACTATTGCAAAACGCTTTAAATGGATAAAGCTTTTTTCAAATTTGAGCAAATTATTTCACCATTTCAGATTCATCTATAATGCGAAAATATACAACTATAATTGAAAAAAACAAAGAGAAGTAAAATCTGAACTAATCTTTTGGAGACTGGGGTAACGTCACACCTTAAGATTTTTGAACTGAAATGATAAAGTCTAAAAGAGCAGTTTCAAGAGGTTCCCATCTACAGTAAAGATTAATTTAATAATTTGAAACATTTCGAAATTTTTGACCAAAGGCATTCAGTTTGAATGACAAACCAATTTTTCAGAAATACTCAGACTCCTGCTGAAAACTAAAAGTTCCCAGAATCTTCTATGATGTAATTCTGACTAACATCAGTAGGTATTTGAATCAAGAATATAGAGATGTCTTAACACGTACGTCATTAGTTCGATACTTAGTGTGTACAGACATTGGGGGACATACAGTTTATCTGTTGAATAGTTCAGTACATTCCTCCAATTTTACAGTTATGCATTAAATATTGAATGAATATTATTTGACCTGACCAGTACCAGAAACTCATAAAGGGAATCAACTTACCTAACTTTTTGTCTGCAGACAAATAAAGCAGTAACAGCAACTAACATGACAATGAGAAACAAGCCAGCACTCACACCTTCAATAACTCCAAACAGAGGCTCTAGAAACAAAACAGCGTGTTTATATATCTTGAGGAAAAGATGCAAAGAATCAACAATGTTCAGGGATATGTTATTATCAGCTAAAGAAAATAGTTAAATACGAGGAAATGTAAGGCATTTAAATGCTTAGCTAAAACCTGGCCTTGATTTTTACTTTTTCCAAACATTATGCAAAAATCTTTCACTCCCAACCACAGCAAAAGAAAGCACAGTCCCACTATATGGGAGTTTGGCTCTCTTGCACTTTTATTGAACTTTTCTTGGTGATAGCTTCATTGAGCTTTCACTGTTTCCTCTACTGACAGCAGCTCTGTCAAGCAGTCCTCTGAATTTTCAAACCAAGCCACGGCTCCAGCCTCATTTCAGAGCAGCCTTCAGGACATACACAACAATCTGGTTTAGTTCCACTCCTTGCAAATAGTTCTAAATACAGGAGTGTTCTGAAGCACAATGTATAATCATGTGCTACAGTCATTGAAAAACAAGCCTGAAACTAACCTGCCTCCGTAGTGATTGGTAAAGAGAAGAAGGTGTCTGCAAAGAGCGGTTTAGGGAGCTCCTTTGGGTCTTCGCTGAAGAGCTGGGTAAAAGCCCGTATGCTGATCCTAAAAAAAAAGCACTGTTATAGTTAGAGCTCATCAGACATTCAGAACCAACAGCACAAAAGTAAGAACTCATTTGCCCCTTAGAGATAACTAAAACCTTTCCACTGATCACAGACAGATCTTAATGGAAGCGCCCGAGTTAAATCCTACAGTGGGGAGAGAGCCCAGCGAGTACAGAGGGGGGCTCTGGGGTACCCTGGCAGAGGTAAGAGATGGGGCTTTGGCTGCTGGCACACACACAGCTCACCTGGGCCTAGCTCTGGAGCCTGGAGAGGGTGCCACAGGTTAAAATAACCTCCAGGTATTCCTAGCATGTTCCAAAGAACTGGTGTGGGGTAGCAGTGCCAAACAGAGTGAGTGAAGCCTGCGTGCCTTCTCCTGTTAAGTACTCTGCTGACTAAGCTGATGGTCTTCAGTCTTTCCACAGACAGATTCAGCAGCCATACGAGAGGTGCCCATCAAGTTGAGGGAAATAAATAAACCGATTCACTGCACAGAGTTTTGTGCATAATCAATTGTACCATTCCCATGCTAGTGAAGGACTAGTTCATACCTATGGAATGCAGGCATGGATAAAGCTTTTATAAATTCACAGTGAAAGGACGTCGTACATCCCAGTTACTGATCTACAGAAGCTCAGGTGCATCAGGCATCCAAACTGCACCATGCCTAATAATGTGACAGAGCGCAACTACCAACATAAATCTAACCTATAAGCAGTCCGAGGCTTTAGAGGTCCATCGCAGAATTTTTGCTGATCTGGATCACACCTTCCTCCCAAATTTTCCATTTCTCCTCCAAGCTTAATGTCAAAGCTTTTATAGTCACTGTCAGGGTTTTCAGCACATCTACTGGCAAAATAATTTGTCTGGTAGATGCGTATGGAGTCATTGTGTTTGTACTCCAGGTAGGAAGGTAATGGGTGCTGCTCATCAGGCTTCGGTCCTTCACTACCTACATCATGTGCAGAGAAAGAGAGAAGGTTCACATATCACAGCCATTAATGTGATGCAATTTATAAACTCAAGCTGTTGACAGACATATTCTTATCCAACTTTCTAGCATTCCTTTGAGGCTACCTTGTGAATACAAAGCTAAAGGGGTTAGGGTGCCTTGTTTCTAGTATCAATCTTGGTATTATTTTACTGAGGAACATCAGATAGATAACCTCACAAGAACTTAGCGTAACTTTTCCAGACACAATGCTGCAATAGGCACACATGTGTTGAATTCAGTGCCATGACATTTTTTCCTGTGCTGTTGGTGGGAATCTCTGTGATCCAGAATCCTGGATCCTATTACCAGCTATTCTAAAAAGTAAGTGAAAAAAAATTATCCACACACTGACAAGTCTTTTGCATAGAGAGAAAAGCTGCCATAAGAAACGACAGGAGTCCCCTGAATGGAAACTCACAGTAAGTTTGTGTAAAAGACTGAGACAGGCAAAACCATGACAATGAGTAGTCCCTTTCTCAAGGAGCTTTATAATGTGCATAAACAGAATAGACAGTGGAAATATTATCTGTGCTTTTTCCCCCCTAAGGGCTGATGGACAGAGAGATTAAGAAACTTTCTCAGGGGTCACAAAATATGTCTTGGCATGCCAGTAAATGAAGCCACTGCTAAAAACTAAGTATTAATTGTTGAGACATCCATCTATTTTGTCACATATAGGTCAACTGCAGAAAGGGAAGTCTACATGCATGCTACAAGGGCAATTTCTGTTCCATTTCACCATGCTGCAAGCAAAATCATTTTCTTCAGTAAGCAAACATCACCTGGGAGATGCCACCTTCTCAGCATAGCTTACTGAGGTTCTCCAAATGAGTTGCCTTAATGTTCTCACCTAACATTTAAACTACCTTTTGAGATCTGTGCACAGCAAGGCAGTTTCTTCTGTGTCCGCTGCCAATGGCATCCAACATAAATCTCCTACTGTGGAAATTTCCTGAACATACTTGAGGCCGTTAACCTACAGTACAGAAACTAACTACTGCTTCTGGCTCTGCAGTTGCTATTGACCCTCTGAGGAGAAGACTGAGCTCCTAAGTCCTCAGGGTGGGGAGCAGGTATAGATCCAAAACCTCTACGAAACGCAGCCACTAGATGAGAAGCTCCTTTGCTGTGTAGTGATGGGGGTGTACCTCCCTGTGTAACGCCTGTAGGCTACAGAGAGAATGGTATTAAATCATGACACTTACCATCAGCCTCCCTCACAACTACAGTAAAGTACTTCACAGCTCCATTGGTATCACTAAACCAGCTGCAGTTAAAAGTAAAGTTGATGGAGGATTTGGTAATCAGCACCTCTTTTTTGTTCACCCGTATGTCTGGAGGTGGCTGAGGGGGACCTGAGTAATTAAAAAAAAAAAAAAAGAAAATAAAAGAGAAAAGCATTATAAGCATTATCTATGCATTTGCTGTGAGCTAGACCTAGTAAGGGAAATGCAATTCTTAATAAAGGTCAGCTGACTGGACCCAAGTCTCTGATCCTATTCTCTTTGCAATCAAGAAAGTGTTTTCACCTCCCACAGGGAAACTGCCAAAGGATGAAACAAGCCAGCAGTGAATTAACTATAATAACAGTGGCAGCTCCTCAGTAGGAATTCCTGCAGAAGCCCGCATGGAAATGCATTAGTCTTGCTAAATCTACGAAATCAGAAATTGTAGCTGCTAAAAATGACACAGGTTTAAGTCACGTATCTGGAGGTCATATAGCACACTCACTGCAGGAAGTTACTTATTTTAAGCACCTAAATTTCTGCTTCCTTTTCCAGAAGAACAGCCCTGAGTCAGCCAGACACAGCATTCAAGTATAGAGTACCAGCTTCCAGACTGACTGCAGAATTTCCATAGGAAATGTTCTTCATATGATAGAAAGCTATACCTCAAACACAGCAGAACTAAACTGGAAAGTGAAGTACATAGGGAAAAACCTTCAGAGAACCAGTGCAGAAAAAGTGGGGATTTTAAGGATCTACACTGGTGAATCTTTTAAAAATCTGTATTAGTGAAACTATATTGCATTCACCCTATTTTGGCCACCAGATTACGAGTGCCACACACTGGCAATTGTGGAGTTCAGAACTCCTTTTGCTGTCTAACCAACACAAGCCATGGCTTATTGCTGCTCACTGCCTCCCTTCCCGTCAACTCTGAATTCCACTTACGGTCAATCATTGTGATGGTGCTGTCTTCCACTACTTCGCTCGTCATGTCTGCAGAATGCACCTTGATGGACACCAGGTATCGCTTGTGGGGAACGAGAGTCATGATATTAAGCAGAGATTTGTCTTTTTCTATCCTTTTAGAAAATTCCACTTCGTGGGTGTCCAGTTTTTTGCATTCAACGCTATACCCATCAAAGTCAGAATCAGGAGGAGTCCAGGAACACGCAATGGCAGTAGAGGTCTGGGGCCGACAATGAAGGCTTTGTATCTTGTCTGGTTCTAGAGGAATGTTGAGAAGTTGAAGCTCAGTGGGAAAAGGGAGAGGCATCATATACTCTCTGCTTACCCTGTGGCCCCTAGATCCTGCATCAACCATTTGATCAGAGCAGGAGGCTGGGAGACAGAATTCCCACCTCTCCTGCAAATGTGCACTGCGTGAGTATTAGGCAAGGCTGTCTAGCTCATTTTAGCCATCTGAAATTGGTTCTAGTGACATCAGCCTCATCAAGTTTGTGAAGCTTCAGTATTTAATTGTGAAAACAAGCAAACAAAACTACTTCTTGAAGTCTTAACAAGAACAGCAACACTGGAAAGTAACACTGGATTTCTAGAACTGTTACAACTTTTTTGGTGGTTAACTGTGGTCAATTAACCTGTCAAGGACAGGTTAACTGTCATCCTGTGACTGATCTGGTTTCCTGGGTAGCATGTGGTACGTCCGTATTACTAAAGCATATCACAGAAGTATGCTTTATCCATGTAATATTGGAGCACCATTTATAACATGTGACATGTAACAAGGATGGGATTTCACTTTCAGATGGCAGGCATTTACAATTAAGTGATTAAATACAGGTGACAGAGGTAGCTATGCTCTCATTACAATTAATATGCTGAATGAAGTCTAAAGAGCGATTCAGCTTACTAAACATAGGTGTCAAGTTGGAGCTGAATCCCACCTCAAGTGACATGAGGGTTTGCCAAGGCTCAGTTGTTTTTACAATTCCAGGTCAGTTTTTCAAATCAGCCTGCTACTGAAGCTCCCAGAAACAGCTACAGATGATATGGATCCACAGACACAGACAGAAACCCTCAGCAGCGAAACACACTGATTCCAGTTTCAAATCTGGTACAGCAGGGTTTCATTCATCCTTCCTGTCTGACTGTTCAGAAACATTTTGATTACTTCAATATCCTACTGTCAGAAAAGTATGGATACTTCCTTATTTTACCCCCAAAACTGATTGATTTGGGCTTTGCAATTAAACAGCCCCACTCTGCATGTGAAGATTGCAAACGTATGTCCATTTGCAATCTTTAATCAACTGACCTTCCGCACAGCAATGGCTTAGAGTCTAGCAAAATTCAACGCCTGTCATTCATGAATTTATTAATGGAAATTACTGACTGCGACAGGAATTGGTAAGCTTTTACAGTTTTGCATCTTGTCCAGCTGAGTGCTAGGGTGCAATGGAAATTGTTACTTACTTGTTCTCACACTTGCAGCCTGTGACTGACTGTATGTCTTCCAGCTGTCACCACTGACCGTTCTGACACTGAACTCATAGAGTCTGCCTGGTCGCAGGCCATAGATGATGCGTACTTTTGATTTGCTGCTGCTGTAGGGATTGAATACTGTGAGGGGGTCTTTTGGAAGCCACTGCAACTCAAAATCGTCATAGTCTGTCCAGTCTGGAGGACCCAGCCAAGTGATTGATAAAGAAGTATTTGCAACATCCGTAAATGACACAGTGTTAGGAGGGCTGGGTGCTACAAAAAAAGGGGAGGAAAAAGAAAGAAAAAAGAGTTCTTAACAAATTTTTATAGTAGACAAATAAGATGAAACATTAGTTATTTTCTTCATGCATCACAAAGTGGTTTATATTATCCTGTGTACGCAGTCAGTTACTGCACCTACACCAACGGTGGTGACTTTCACAGACATTACATATTCCTGAGCCTTCGAGAGAAACATGGTGCTGAACAAAATCACACTCTATTGGTTTAATACCCTTTGGGATATCCTTTATCTTTACACCTTCAGTGACTCTTAAAATACATACTCCCTCAGAATAAGTCTGTTGCATAGCTGTAAACTAATACGAATTCTGAGAAATGGGACTACACAAAAATCCCAAAGCTTTTGTGTCTTTTACCTGTTCTTCCTTCAGCGTTTGCTGTGTTGGTCAGGTCCCCACTGTGAGTCACCACGACCAGAGTGTACTTTCTGCCAGGAATGAGCCCCTGGAAATGCCACTCTTTCAGGTCTTTCCTGTGCCATGTTTCTTTCTGTGTCCCGTTTGGGTTGTAAAGACTCAGCTCATAGAAGTCAACATCTCCTGCTGCTGGACCCCAGGTGAACCACAGACTGTCTGTCATGTTTCGGTTGGATGCCTTGAGACCCACAACTGGGGCTGGTACTGAAAAAAAGAGGATGGGTATTATGTTGTATAGAAGACTGTTAGGGTTAGAAGCAACGAGGTCAAGCAGACCTTACACTTATCCCACAATCACAGCCATGTAATAATCTAGAAAGCCATCACAGCCGGCCAAAAAGCCAGAAAGCATCAGGAAGTATGTGGTAATAGTTTGCCTTCTTATTTCGAACAGCCACTGTCCCAAAAAGAAGCTGAAATGTTTATAATAGACAGGTTTGCAAATGTTAAGCAGCTTTTTCCCAGTCAGTGTCTGCAAACATCTAATTGTGAGGCAGCTGAAGAAAGCGCACCACTGCGCAGAGGCCGTGGTACACAGGGGTTACTCTGTGGTGCCTCAGAGGATAAAGAAAGGTTTCACAGAGTGTCAGGGCTGCTACAGCTGCTTAGCAAACTCTGCTTCCCGTGTGGCTGAACAAACAGGGAGCTGCAGCCAGAGCTCCCCCTGGGAAACAAGTTTTATTTCACTGGTAGATTGTCTACCACATTAACCCTACTTGCTTTGCCTCTCTGTCTTTTCCACTCATAGACAAATATTGCTTTTAGGATGGGAGGCAGCTGTTTCCTTTAAGACTTATGAAGCATACATTGGGACGTTCTTCTCCTGACCTGAGTACCTAGGAACTACTGTTTCATTTTTCCTCTTGTAACCACATCATTCAGAATTTACTTTCTTCTTTTTCTAATGCTTTTCATGTATAAGAGCCAATTTTGATATTTCTAATAGTTGCTCTAATCTAGCATGAGCATCAGACCAGCTCATTGATGTCTCTCACTAGCACCACACTGGAGACAGATGATTTTCTTAGATGTTCTTGCCTGTTCTTCCAAAGACAGATGACTCGTTAACGAGGTCTCCGCTGCGCGTAACAATCACCATTCGATACATCCTGCCTTGCCGCAGGTTCTGGAATGAACAGTTCTGGAGGTTCTGCTCTCCTGAAATCCTGTCATGAAGGGATTTGTCTGGGTTGTACAGGAAGATGTCATATGAATCGAGCTCCCCTTGCGAGGTGGTCCAGCTGAAGGACAGTCGGTCAGTGGTGTTCTCTGTGACCTTCAGATTTGTGACAGCTGCTGGAACTGAAAAGAAGAACAAACACAAGAGTAAATATCGAAGTGTCTAGACGCTAAGCTGAACCTTTAATAAAGTAAGAGTTCATGGCTGGAATACACTTCAATTAAGCCACAAGTAGCTAAGTAATGTCAACAGCAACTTTCAGAAGCAAGAGGAAAGCGTTTATGAGGTGCTGCTGAGTCTCTCCAATACAATGTTTGTGTTTCTCAGCAGGCCTGGTTCTCCAGCCTGTGCTCACACAGAACTGTCCATTAGTTTCTACACGAAGCGCTAATTGAGTAAAGACTGCAAGACTTGGCTCTAAGTTTAGTGGTGTGTATTCACATCAAATCCTGCACTAAGAGCCTTAAGATTGTGAATTAAAAACTTGATGACAATAAAGCATTCATTTAGTTCCATAACAGATAGACTCAAGGAAGCATTCATCGCTTTGCTTTAATATCCTTATTATGAACCATGGCCACATTATTACGCTAACAAATTTCAGATTCACATACCAAGCATGTAACAGGGAAAATGATGCATAAATATCTGGAGTCTGTCCTTACTGGAATCATTCCAGAATCAAGATACACAGGTGATTCATGTATTTAATGATATCTGACTGAGGGAGCTATAAATAATCCAAGATGTTCTAATTACCTGTTCGGCCAACAGTTTCTGCTCGTTTACTGAAAAGCCCGCCACTGACTGTCAAAACTTGTATTTTATACTTCTTGCCGGCTAATAAATCTTCAAATTTGTGCTGTTTGGCAGTAGCTGGCTCTGATTTGTTGCTCAGGAGGATTCCTTGCTCATTCAGGAGCAGAATATCATATCTTTCAGCTACACCAGGAGCTTTCTGCCAGGTTACTAACAAGGAATGAGAGCTGTAAGCATGATGGGCTAGTAATTCCTGGACCGAGGCTGGAACTGTAAGCAACAATTAAAGGCAGGACGTTATCAGGTGAAATACAGAACATTCAATACACAACTGCCAATACAGTAATTAACAGAGAATTTCTTTATACATTTGCATTTTTACTTGTGAGAAAAAAGATACCTATGCATGTGTTTGCACAAGCAAATAATTTCTAGATATAAATACAGTCAGATTAAGTTACAGGACATCATGGACAGCTGAACTGAGCACGGAGAAGCAAGAGATATACACAAATTGTCATGAAAAGAGGAGAGTGACATGAACAGACCAAAACAATGAAGAGAGGCACGTGAAAAAGAACTGAAAAATAAAGAAGTTGGCACAAAATAGTGGCACAGAATAGAAAACATAAGCCAGCAGCTGTTGCGTGAACACAGCAAACATATGTAGATACTAAAGAGAGAAGATGGACTAAAAACAAGGTGTTCCACTGTTTGTGTGCCCTGACACGGAGAATATTGGGGCAATACATTCTCTAACAAGACTTGACCATGCGATGGGCTCTGCTAGAACATGGTATTTGACTACGTGGAGCCCTGCAGATGTATGTGTTGGATGGGTACAGGCACCGAACTGGGGAGGGCAGGAATTGCATTTGTCCTGTAAAGGCATGCTTTGGGCTGGGACCTGAACTCCACACACATTTACCCAGGTAAAGCTTCTCATGTGACAGATCTCACTGGTATTAAAAGAGCTATGCCTAACTATTTGCAAGAGGACTCATGCTCTTTGAGACAAAAACTTCTCATGAATCTGGATCTTCTCATACTCAATGGTACATTCATAAACATTATTAAAAAAGGGTCATAAGACATAATGCAACTTGCTCCTTGTCCCAAAAGAAACGCACTTGTTCTCCCAAAAGCTGCTAAGCTGTTGTGCAAGGTGCCACTGTTCGATTGCACCACCACCCGGTACTGCTCCCCAGCTTCCAGCTTGTGAAACATGTGCTCAGAGACGTGCTTGGAGACACTCTGGGAATCAAGCTGATGGTTTTGCTGAAAGATAGTCACTGTGTAGGAATCCACATCTCCACTTCCAGGAGTCCAGCTCACTTTCAGGCTGTTTGTCAGGCCATTAGGTGACACGTGAATGTTTCTGACTGCACTTGGAACTGGAAAAAAAAAGGAACACAAAGGCACCTGCTTACAGATTTCCTGTTTGATTCAGACTTTTTAATTCCTACTTTTTTTAATGGTGACATCAAATGATTCAAAGGACAAAGAGCATTTACATGCACAAGCAATTTCATTTACAGGTAAACACAAGTAAAGCTGAAGACATTTGTGTCGGATTGTGCCATTTTAGAAAAGCAATTCTATGTGTTTACAAGAAGAAAAATAAAGAAAATCTAAGTTAAACAGGAAGAAAAGTTTGTATGTTTTTTATCTGGATAACCTCCTTCTTCTCCGAATGATGCTTTAGAAACACCTCAGAAAATCAATTCTCTTTATGTACACTTACTTAGTAGACATTTTGCAGTCTTAATCTCACCCTTTCATTTCAGGCATAAAATAGCTTAAGCGATTTAGCTAGAGATACTAAGCAAACAGCTGGCATGCAAGGGATAACAGAAACCCAAACACCGACATCTCAATACCATTTCTATGCAACAAATCAAATTATCTGCCAATAATCAAATATTGGTGCCTGTGACATTTGTTCATTAAGCACAGATCAAGTTGGTTGAAGTACTACTGTGATTTTCAATGAGATCTGCTCTTTTTGTGCCAGTGCTGTGCCAGTTCAAATAATACCAGGTTCTCCCTTGATTTTTTGCCCCTCATTCTTTCCTCTGGAGAAGCCTCAACACATTTTTAAATACCACATTATTTCTTACTTGTTAGGCCTTCTATGAAAGTGGCACGTTGTGCATCTCCACTGATTGTCAAGACAAGAATTTTGTACAGACGTCCTGGAGTCAGAGCTGTGAACCAATACTCCTCAATCGTGTTCCCAAGGAAAATGGGTGGGAAGATCTTCATATCATTGAAGAGAAGCTGAACCTCATATTTATCAACATCCCCCTCAGCCTTTGACCAAGTTACCTGCAGATCTTCTGTGCTCCTGTTACTAAGAGTCAGTTCCTTTACTGACTCTGGCACTGAAGAGGTGAGAAGAAAGATAGGAAACTTCTCAGTACTTATTACCAGATCACAACAGAAAGATAACAGCTCTGAGGCCATACTCCTGAGCTCAAAGTTTTCATTCAGTTCTTTAGGGAAAGCAGTAGATTGCACTTATTTCAATGGTTGCTGTTTGTGGTCTGCACCATACCTATCACTGGAAGGTCCCATTTAAGAACAGGGAGTTGGCAGTCTATCAGCATAAGAATAATAAATAATAACGGAGCCTGCAGGGTGTTTGCACAGCCAAGAGAAATTGACTAGGGTCTGCAGGTACAACAAATGTGGTGTGAAGAGGCCTGAGCTAGTGGAGACCTGAGGCGAGCTGTCGGTGTGAAGCAGCACCACACTGTGCAGTTCCCAACTCCTGCCAGATGCAGGTCACTTGTTTTTGCCCAGCGCTACACCTGCGTTAATAAGCTTGGTTTCTTAGCATGGCTCATTAGCTTACATGCAGTGCTAGGTGAAGACAGGCAGGTTGCATCTAGGTGCCTGCTGGCTCACAACTAGCCACCTAACCACTCTTGCTCCATGCTCTCCAAATCCAGTTCTTGGAGTAATTTGAGTAGAGTGAGGTCTAGCCTATCTTCTTCCTTATACATTTCCATGACAGAAAAAAAAACTATGTCTTGTACCTTCTGGCTGAGCTTAAGCATAAATACTAAGCTGATGTGGAAATCTGTACTATTTTGGTTTTCAGTTTTTCATGTTTCAAGGTTTAGCTTTCCTAGTTCACGCCACTCATGTTTCAAGGTTTAGCTTTCCTAGTTCAGGAAAGGTCTCTGCTTTTTTACTTTCTATATGTCTGTAACTTAAACTTTGGTCATAAACTAAATACTGCTTTCCATATTTAGAATGCCACCTATTCGAAGAGTCACACTCAACATTCTATGTTAAAATCATATGAGATTTTTGAGCAAGGTAAATAGAAAAAAAATCCTGGAGTATCTCAAGATGTTTCCAGGGTCTTTACTTACTTGTTCTGCCATAGACTCTTTCACTAGTTTCATATTTCCCACTCCTTGTGCTGACCGTGACACTGTACTGCCTCCCTGGGACCAGATTAGTGAACACACATTCATTTTCATCCTTTGGGACACTTTTTGTTTGGATGAAGTCATTGTTGTTCTTGATGATCACTTCATAATTATCAAAATATCCAGAGGCATGTAACCAAGACACCTTCAAGTAGTCACTCCTGGCTGAATTGCTGACAGTAAGTCCCTGAACACTTGAAGGGACTGAAAAAAAAAATAATAAAACCCACAATTAAAGTTTCAGAAAGTAATAACTTCCTGACGTAACAGGAGTTGCTGCAGTGAACGATACTTGCGTTAATTACCACTTTTCTGAGGAAGTTGCAAAAATCCACAATGTGGATTTAAGTAACACCCTACCCTCTAAAATAGTAACTGAAGTTTCCAGGCTACTTTATGTCATATGACAATAGTTTCCAATTTTTGGTCTTTTGGAACTTGGTCAGTTTTGCTTATAGAAGTGACTTCCACTGGTTCACACTAGTCCTGAATTTGCTTCTCCTCATTTAAATGGATTTCCCTTGGATTTGCATTTACATCATGAGAAGACTAAAATGGCACTAACTTATGATACTCTCTGTCATTTTAACACTCCTTACCATCTTCTTTTATTCTACTGGTTTACTAAGTGCAAAGTATCAGTCTTTTCAATCTTTGAGGAAGTTTTAAAAAGTTTTTCATCATTATTGCCACCCTTCTTTGAAATTTCTCTATTCCTGTTATAATCTCTTTGAACACTGCATTACCAAAACCATAGACATGGGTGTCACGTGACCAAAAAGAATAGACAAGGGTATTATTCATTTATGTGACAGCTTACTAATATTTTAGCAGTTAACTCCTACCCCATTCTTTCAGTGTTTCAGTAAATTTTTGGGGGGAAGCTCTGCAGGATATACCTGAAGACCCAAGTAGAGGGGTTAAGGCCAGGAAAATGCATCAGAGTCAAAACTGATACATGATTTCTGCTCACTCACAAGAACTGACACATGACTTCTACGCATGCTAAAGTAATTTTGTATGACGTAAAGCAGCAGTTGAGACGTAAGAATAAGACTAAGTCTGTAAATTTTATGGTTTGACCCTCCAACCCCTACTCACACATCCCAGTTTGGTCAGATACTAATCGATCATTGCTAATGGCTATACAAAATGGTTATGGTAACTGGATTGACTAAGAGGTTCTCTTTACCTGTTCGTTCCTGGCTGAAGGAATAATTTTCATACTTTCCACTCTTCGTGGTTATCATGACATTGTAAAGCGTCCCAGGAGTAAGGCTGCTGAAGGAGCATTCACTGAAGGATTTGGAAACGGTGAGAGTCTGAACAATCTTGTCATCATGAGAGAGTGTTACCAAATAACTGTCTACATCTCCAGAAGCTGGTAGCCAAGAGACACTGAGGTAGTCACTGCGACCTGAGTTATTTACTGTTACTCCAGTCACGCTGGAAGGAACTGTGCAACAAAGAGGAAAAACCAGAAAAGCTTTAACTAGCCAATTCCTACTGTCGCGAGAATGTCTGGAATACCACCCTGCAAAACGAGCAGCCTGGGACTCCTGAGAAGCTCTGCACTGACTCCACTCAGCAGCAGACATCCGCTTTTTGGAATACAGTGAAGGAAATTGTCTTTGGTGGCATGATCCCAGCACTTCTAAAATCGCAGAGGATGAGTTATCCTCTCAAGTTGCCAATCATCAGTAATAGCAGTAACTGCTAAGGCCGGTATGGAGCTGAGGCTCATAGAAGAATGTGTTTCATTTACAATGAGTTCTCTGACGCCTAGTGGCCAAGACATGAACGCAGACTGCTCTTCAAGCCAGCAAGGTGAGCTCAGAGGCTCCACACTGCCAGAACTACCATTGCTCAGGTATACTAAATTATTAGGGTTATTACAGGGGCAGAGCTTAATCATAATTAACTTTTATGCATATATATTAATATTATTTATTATTATTAATTAATTATTATAATTATAACAATAATAACTATTATTATAACTAACAGAGTCCACATTTTCATTGGACTCTGATGCACTGAACTGACTTACATCAGTAGAAGGGCTGCCCATCAGCTGTCAGAGTCAAAAATATTGGAAGATTTTGTAAAATATGTCTATGTACTCTAAGCCTTTGTGTTATTCTTGACAACTGTTTTTCTTTTTTTTTTTCTTCCCTGAAAATAGTTGTTTTCAAGGGGAACATTGGAGCAAACTGCAGAATCCCTGTTATCCAGAGCTCATGTTGAAGGCAGAGCAGTTAGCTCCCACAGTGAATCTGGACCCACAGTGCACCTGAGGTCACACAAAGGAATTATATGGCCAAAACTCCTGTATTTCTGAATTCTCAGCCCAGTGGCTTATTCACAAGACCATTCTCTTTAATGCTTTTAGCTTTTAGGAACTGACAAAAGATGTGCTGGAATATTTCCTTTTTACCTGTCCTCCCCTCTGCAATCGTTTGCCTTGAAGAAATTCCCCCACTGACAGTGGTGACAACAACTGAATAGAGTCCTCCAGGTTTCAGGGAATAGAAGTGGTATTTGTTGGTTTCACTGGGAACAGTCTCATTTTTAATGACAACATTCTCATGAATCAGTAGCACTTGGTATGAGTCTACATCTCCCAGCGCTCTCGTCCAGTTGGTGAACAAGCTGTTGCTTGATCCCTCACTTGACACGGTCAGACCAGTTACTTGGGCGGGCACTGCAAAGAAAATTGTCATAATGTTACTGAGGAGAAATAAAACAAAACAAAACAAGATCCCCCAAATAACCCAAGTTTAGTCACACTGAGGAAGTGCATCAAAACAACATTCCAATTTGCAGCCAGACTCAACAGGACTAAAAATAACCTAACTGTGGACTGCTTCCTGTCTGGTGGGATGTGGTCTATGGGAAACTATCTAAGGCACAGAAAGGTCTTTCAGGCTTTAGCACAGCTTTTCTCAGTCAGAATAAAATGATTCAAGATCAGTGAATGGGAAGAGATGGCATTTCATAAATACCATTAAACAAAAGCCATCAATTTAGGAAATAACTTGGTTTTTTTATGATTGTTTCAATTATAGTCTGTGTTTTCCATTCTCCCTTTCCTCTCCTATTCCCCATCTCTCATTCCTATAAATATCAAACTAGTTTGATGAACACCTCAGGCACAACCATCTATACCCCAGAGAAATGTCAGACCCTTTAATTTTGGGGGCAACTGAGATCAATGAGTTTGGCTTTACTTTTTATGTCAGAAGATCTGCAGGATACAAACTTTTCTGGAAGCAAAAGATGAATTAATTGCTAAACAAACAATATTTATCTAAGTATAAGCTTAAATAACTTTCCAGACCAAAAAGGAAAAAGAAAGAACAAAAGTATCTAGCACAAATTTTGCCAAAAAAATTTTTTTTTTTAATTTGACAATATTTGGTCAAAGCAAGGGAATACAGTTGCTTCTTTCTAAGTAATTCTGCCTACATGACCAAGCACAACTGAAATCAAGAACACTCTAACCTTACAAAATGTGATTGCAAGCTTCATCTCTTGTTTTGTATCAACTTTTTTGCACACATACTGGATTAGCAATTATTAGGAAAAGCTAGAAAATTAGCCACATAGCTGAAAAAATGTAATGTTGATAAAAAAACTTAATCAAAAATCCCACCTGTTTTATAATACTGTCATTATGTAGTAAGTTCCAACAAGACACTGTGCCACATTTCTGTGCTAAAGGCACTTTTAGTGATACCTCAGGTTCCACTAGAAGCTGACCAATCTGGGATGTATCCAAGACCTATTTCTGTCATATTTACAGCAACATTTTTGCAATTCTAGGAAGCTGTCCTACTGCAGAGAAGATTCAGAGGTTTGGGGTGCTTATTAACACCCGTGTTCAAATTCAGTGATGTTTGTTCCTTATCACTTTGAATGTAATGCTGGCACGCTACCCCAGCCTGATGTGTTGTCAAGCATTGATTCATACTGGTGAAGCAGGACCCTGCAACCTTTATGCCTGAATAGGCCTCCTGAAGGGGCTCAAGGCAGAAGGAAGTGAAATCCCAGCTATCTAATCACATAGCAGAGAAATGAAAGTGTAAGTCAAACTCTTCAGGCTTTGGAAGGAGTTACAACATTTAAGTGAGGACCACTATCGAGCCATAGGCACGATTAGATTTAAACACCAGCAGCTTGTTTTTCCCCTGTGCTGTGCCAGACCAGAGCTACATTTTAAGACTTTGCTTGCAGTGGAGATTGCGTAAGTCAAGCAGAGTAAAGCAACACATGTGGTTTAAAACTTGCACACGTGCACAAAATTAGCACCCTGCAGGGGGTGGGAATGGGACCTTCCTTGTGTCACAGTCATCATCCTGAATAACAGATACAGATTCTGGAATCAGAAGAGCAGAAATATTCAAAATACATTTTCAAGGTCACATATGTTTTGTGTCTGTCAACCTTGGAATGTTCCCCCTGAAGCAACATTTTCCTGTGTGGTGGTGGTGTTTTTCGCTTCCAGATGATGAATGCTTTGAATCAAGGAAGTGACCTTCCTGAAGATACCCAGTGCAAATTGTTCTGCAATCTTGTGCTAATGTACATTGATCAGACATGACATAATATTTCAGAAAACTGTTTTGCCGGGAATTGCATATCCATTTCCCCAAAACCTTAAATAAATACTGGAAGGTAACTGACTGAGTCAGAATGGAGAGACTCAGAAACGTTAACTTTCTGGAGAAAACACAGGTAAATTCAAGACTTTTGCGATTTAGCCACTGAGTTCATTTACTTCACTACAAAGCAAAGAAAGTTGTTAATGGTTACCAGAACTAAAGATTAAAACAGTTTGGCAGGATGATACCTGTTCTTCCTTCCACTGAAGTCCAGTTGCTTAAAATCCCACTAATGGTAGTGATGGTAGCTGTATATTTTCTTCCAGGTACCAAGTCAGTGAAAGTGAATTCCTTAGCTTCTTTTGCAAGCCCTTTTTTTATGACAGTAAGATCCCTGTCTCCCAGTGAAACCACATAGCTGTCCCATTCTGCCACAGGGGTCATCCACATGACACTAAGTGAAGATTCATTAGCATGCTTCACACGGAGCTGGAGCACAGGCTCTGGAGCTGTAAAAGTACACAAATATCACAATGAGAACAGGATCTTATAGTGAACGCTCATGCCATATCTCAAGCTGCTGTAAGGAATCTGTTCCATAAGACAGAAATGTGACAGCAACAGAGAATTTGTAATCAAGAGGAGATTCATTACCTTTCTCTAAGAAGTCAATCTTACAAATCTAATATTTGTGCTACTCTCCCAGTAAAGGCCTGTAGCAGTAGATTTCAGCAATGCATTATGGCTGTAATGCTTAGGCTTAAACTCATGTCAGGATAAGTATTTTAGTATGAATGGAAATGCAGTGAAGTCAGTGAGCTTCCTCTTGAACTGTAGATGCTAGACAGGGACACAAAACATTTGTACCATAAAACAGATCTACACCAATTCAGCTGTAACAAACAAGGATGCAAATTATAGGGTCAGAGAGACATTGATTTCGCAGTGGTTTATATCTCTGTTAGGTTGGGAGACACTCCAAACTTACAGTGGTACAAAAGAAAGAATTTCATCAAATAATTTCTCTGTATGTGTTTGTATGTGTGTGTGCATGCGCGCTCACATAGGGCATTTGTCACCTAACATAGTCCCCTGATCTAATTTTGTCCGTGTTACGTTGAAATAGAATCATAGAATTGTCTAGATTGGAAGGGATCTTTCAGATCATCTAGTCCAACCATCGACCTAACACTGATCATAAAAACCACCTTTAAACCATATCACTAAGCACTACATCTACCCATCCTTTAAATACCTCCAAGGATGGTGAATCCACCACTTTCCTGGGCAGCCCATTCCAATGCTTGATAACCTTTTCAGTGTAAATTTTTTTCCTAATATCCAATCTAAACCTTCCCTGGTGCAACTTGAGGTCATTTCCTCTCGTTCTATCACCTGTTACTTGGGAGAAGAGACTACAACCTCCTTTCAGGAAGAGTGCAATAAGGTCTCCACTCAGCCTCCTTTTCTCCAGGGTGAGCAAGCCCCATTTTCCAAGACTGTGGGTTTATCTAAGGGAAAATTAAGTCAGAAGAGGGCTTAATACCTATGCTTCATAACAGGTACATTATGTACCTGACCATGGGTCAAACACAGTTGTGATACACCCACTCTTGGATATTATTTACTAACTGCTTAGGTGCACCAATTAAAAGTAACACCTTAAATTTAACTTAAGTTATTTGTCATGTATATCAAAGTAAGAAAGATGAGACTGTGCCTTGCTCTAATCAAGTTAGCTAGAAGTTAGGGAAAGCTTCAGTTCTGTAGCTTCTACTGGTCTTGCTATTGCACAATATTAATAAAATGAAGCCCTTGGGGAATGACAGGTAGGGGTGTAGCAGGAAAGGCGTGCACAAGGAAGGATGAGGATAAAGTAGGGTGGCCCATTCTTATCTCACATTCTCCTGTGAGATAAGGCTCAGGCCTGAGACTTGCCTCCTCCAAGTCTTCTTTTTCTCTGAATTACATTATTATGCATTCACAGAGCAGAACCATTAACAATTACATTGCAATTATTTTTAAAGTAATCAGATATGGCTTTGAGTAACATGCTGCAAAAGAATTCCACTCACATCCTTGCAGTGTATATGGAATTCCTTTGGAAAGGCTGGCTTGAACAGCCTAACCCCATTTTCTTTCTGGAGCATGGGAACAAGAGCTGAGATGTTACGGAACAGCAGCACTAACATACACCTCAAGCAGCTTTGGTTAATATTGCTGATACCCTTTGTACAGGCTGGGAATTAAACCAGTTTGCCACAGAAAATACTGATGAACAATAGAGGAAGATCTATATTGCTCTCTTTCAGAAGTATATAGGGTGCCTACAGAACAGTGAAATGCAGTACATGTAGTGTAATGCCTCGGTCATGACAGAATGGTGAAATAATTCCCACAACCTTCATTAACAAACACTTACCACAAAAACAACCCTGAAAGATTTCACGGAACTGCTAAAAATAATCATTCCTGTTGTTTTCAAGGGAGTTCCTTTTTACTGTATTAATTCCTGCATTAATAGTGAAATTAATCAGTGGATTCCCAAGTATGCCTTCTTTCTCATCGCCCACAGAGCCCAGCTGAACGTTTTGTGCTTTCAGGCTCCCCGGCCGCTCGCACTGACCTGTTCTCCCCGTGCAGCTGGTTTTGCTCTGCAAATCCCCACTCTCCACAAGGAGGTCCACGCCGTACTGCCTGCCCGGGATGAGGCCGTTGTCCTGGAGGAGGTACTGGGTGGTGTCCCTGTGCAGGGTGGCGTTGAGCAGCAGGGCCGAGCCGTTCCACAGCAGCAGGCGGTACCGCTCCCAGTCTCCGGCAGGGGGCAGCCAGGCCACTCGCAGAGACCGCAGCCCGCCACCGCCGCCGGCGCTCAGCTCCGACACCGCCTGGGGAACTGGAAGGCAGAGATGGAGAGGGGAGCTCTGAACTGGGGTGTACCTGGTAAGACCTACCTGCCCACCGGCACGACCTGTCTCGCAGAAGGACTCGGATCAGTGAGAGCAACGGGAGGTATCTTGTTACAAAGGCTGGCGTTCATTTTAAGGATAATTTTTACTCTTCCCCACACAAAACACTCCCTTCTCGCTGTTAGTTTCTGCCATCAGAAATGGGGAACCCTTCTTAGGGCAGGCAAAATCCCCCCCGTGCACTTCTCGGATGCATCTTGCAGTTTTCCCTTAGCTTCCCAGCTTCTTCCTGGACTTAAGTTCACTTAGAAACTGTTGGCCAGTTTCTCCAAGCTAAAGCCGAAACTTCAGCTGCTACGGGCCAAACTCTGGTCTCAGCAGCTGAAATGCAAAATCTGATGGCTTCTTGCACAAAGGCCTTGTATGTCCTAGTCCCTCCCAGCTGTAGGGCACTAAGACTCAAACTGAGGTTCATTAAATCATCCACTCAGTCCTGTCCTTCACTTCAAGGGTCCTGGATTTACATGCTCGACCTTCCTGCCCTACCTCCTGCAGGTCACACTGGACCACTGAAGCTTTCTGATTTTCATAGAATAATTAAATATCAACCACACCAAGCGGAGATTGGAAGACAGATGCGGACCCTTAGGTTAGGACACCTGTAGCTCAGCTTTTAGATACTCTACATGAGATCAGCACTGGAGCCCTGAGACCATCAGCAAGTATTAACCATAAACTGCAAGGCTAGAATCATGCTCTCCTGTTTTCTCTGGCTCAGTTAACATTTAATTGGCTAGCAACTAGTAAAGGATTGAGAGATACCAGTTTCACTTCCTACAGACATAGCTGGGTATCAAACTTAGATCTCCCACATGCCAGTGAATTTGAGAGATGTGTTTCAACTGCTGAGTGAGTGGATAAAAGCACACAGTGTTTTGTTAGGAAGCTTGGATGTACTTCTATCATAACAGATAAAATTAGACTGGCTGGACATCATTACACCCTCATGGTGCAAAGTTTCAGTCTCTGAGATGTCCATATTCCCTGCCACGACACTCCTAAGTAGGTTCTGCTGCCGTAGGCACCCTCTCAGTACACGGTAAGGTAGATAATGTTCTCGGGCACCTGGCTCGCTTTGTGAGTTACAGAGGGATGCTAGGAGTCCAACCTCTTCAGCATCTGTAGACCTGACAGCCTGGATTTAGAAATTTATCTTTAGGCCACACAGCTTCTGCTGAAGTGACGCTGTTTTCAAAGCTCTTGGTATCTACTGAAAAGTCAAGGGAAGGAATTGCACATGATCCTTGGAAATGGGACTTCTAGATCTCCAACTTTGAAAGTAATGGGTCTAGGTCACAAATTTGGGGATCAGTGGTTTGAGTGAAGGCCTGAATCTCTCCCTTCAGATGGAAATGGTAATCGTAAAAGTCTTTAATGGCAGGCTAGACAAACAAAAAAGACATGTATGTAACCAGTCCAGCTTTGTACTTACTGGACATGAAGGGCTTTTCAGGTCTCTTCCAGCTTGCACTGAGAATGAGGTGGCAGCTAGATATGTCAAGGATGTGCCTTTCACTTGAGATGTTTAGTTGTAAATGATGAATATTCTCTAAAATAAATACTCTGCTCTCTCTCTCACACACACATTTTATAATTTTGGGCTCTGAGTCTACTAACAACTTACGTATGTATTCTTCACCCACTTATATATTTTTTCCCATCTAAATTTAGCTTGGGCTAGGGTGGTGTGGAGAAGATGACATGCCTTTGTGGCCAGTAATGCTGTAGGAGAATTATGTCAGGATTTTTCAGGTTCAGAACTCCTACAAGAGAGTATTCTTCCTGAAAGAAGATAAACAAAACATAACCCAGCTCTACCCACATGCTTTCCTTAATCCATGCTGTTGGTAGCAAAGGCAGCTGAGACCTAATTTTTTCCTATTTGTAGATTTGTGTCTGGAGCGAAGGGTAATATTAGACCTTGCAAAATTACTTAAAAACCCATTACCAATTTGACTACATGCAGACTTCCCCATAATGTAACTAATTTTATATACTATGCTGAGTTGAATTCAAGATAATGAAGTTGGTCAGAAGTGGAGTAGTGTGGAACATTTTTGTAACAGACTCACCCAACTATAATGTCCAAAATGCATTATTGCTTCCTGCTCCCAAGCTAGGCTGGAGCTGCTTTTGGCTGCCAGATTAACTGTTGCCAGAGTCAGGAAGGGGTACTCCCGGAACAATATTGTGCTCTTTATCTTATTTTGCCTGGAATCCAAATAATTTTGTCTCCTACAGTGATTTTCTACAAGGCCAGCATAGGCAAAAATAGCATTGGTTACAATGTTCTTACTGAAGCAGAAGACTTACACGTCCTGCCAGTTGCCATCCGATCGGTAAACAGTTCACCGCTGACTGTGCGGGCAGTAACCTGATAAAGACGTCCTGGAGTCAGCTTGTCAAAGTGAGTCTCTGTCACCGGTGGCTGCAGAGTTTTGACTTCTTTAACTGATCCAAGATGAGACAGACTGATATTATAGAAATTGAGGTTTCCCGAAGGTCTTCGCCACTTAACTTTTAAAGTATCTAAGCTGTCATCGTTAGTCACCGTCAAATCTAAAACTTCAGCTGGGGCTAAAAGAAGAGAGTAAGAAAGAGAACAAAATATTTTCACCACGGAGCGTATAAGACCTGCTGCCTCCAAACTGCAATCATTAAGTTTTGCTTTTAAATGGTTATATGAGATGGAGTATGAACGATTGCGCCTGAACAGTGAGAGGGCAAAGCCTGATCACGCTGAAACTGAACCCAGACCTGTTTAAGATACTCTGCTGCTGAGTGCCACCTCTTGCGATGACCGCTCTCATTAAGGAGAGTAGAAAATCTGTTAGCCATGTCTGCACTCACCCTAGTCATTTTGACTATCTAACAGTCCAGGCACATGCTCCTAACAACAGACACGCCGACATACATGTTGGTAGAATAAACATTACAGCATCATTGGAGCTATGCCTGGTTTAGACTAGTGGAGATGGGATCGGAATCAAACTCCTTTATTCAAATGCTTCACTAGAAGAAAAGCAATGCCACCTCCAAATCTTCACTTTTCAGGGTTGGGGGACAGTAGGTACTGAAACAGAGAGCCATGCTGCAAGCAAGATAGAGTGCTTTGATGTTCTGAGAAAACCTGTGAGATTTAAAATTTGCACCCTGCAACAGGCAGAAATAAAAAAAAAATCTGAAGAAATAAAATGAAACAAGAGAATAATCCCCAGAACAGACAGTGTTAGGTGACAATAGTACTCATCTGTGTGCCCTAGACATCACAATATTGCTTACTTAATATTTAATTACTTCTACATAGTGAGGTTTGTGTATGATAAACTGCACCTTACGCTTACCAGAAATTAAGGAAAGAAAAGGTGGGACCTTGTTTTTACTTACAAGGTTTTTAAAAAAAGTTTTTTAAAAAACCTTTTGCGTGTTTTAACCATTGGGCTTTAGTAGGATGTCATCTTTCTCTCTATGACCACAGAACTCTATTCTGAAAAACCTTCCTGAAAAAGGTTTTGAAAACTTCCTTTTGAAAACTCTGGTTCTGCAAATCAATACTTCTCAGGGGAAAAAAGAACAAAGCCAAACAAAAAAACCGTTCAATTTTAAACTTCTTAACCTACTCTACTTTTTTGGGGGTTTCATTTCCTTTTCAGAAGTGCAGCTATTTTACAATCCAGAGAAAAAGACACAAAAAATATATTTTTGCCAAACTCACAAGCTCTGCACCTCCCATTCAGCTAAGAATCAATGGAGTTAAAGTGTCTTCAATATTGTGAGATAAGCAGGCTGCGCACTTCCTCAACTCACTGAACAGGTCAGATGAACCTCTCTCACAGGTATGAGCTGATACCACAGCACTTAGGCTCAGACTGTTAACACCTAACTTCACACGTTTAATGGAGCTGCCTACATTAAGCAGTGCAGCTAATTTAGCTGCAGACACCCTAAAAGCTAATTAGCTGCAATGGTAACTTAGGGAACAAAGATTATAGTATCTCTAACTCCTTCTATACCCTTTGGAGAGAAATAGCTGCCAAAGGTAATTCAGCCACTGAAGTCTGGCAATATACACTTGGAACACAAATCATTTCTTATTCTGAAATACGTCCTGTAACATTATTAGATTATGGCCTTAGCTTCTTGTCCTGTTGTGATGAATTCTGAAATCATACCTGTCCTGACAGTTTGAAAACTGCTGCTCTCCAATCCTGCAGCCTGGGTTATGATAGAGAGGTTATACACATGGCCTGCTGTAAGTCCTGAAAAAGTGTAGGAGGTCAAAGGATCTTCTTGGTGAACTTCATGAACTGGGGCATGATTATCCAGCAACACCAGCCTGTAACGATCCACGTGCCCAGAACCAGGAGACCACGAAGCGTGAATAGAATCTGTCTTGACACTGATCTGAATATTTTTCACAGGGGACGGCACTGTTGTAATAAAAAACACGTGTTTGAGGCCTAATGGTTATCTCCACAATTTCAGCAATTTTGAACATATATACTTTTGAAATAGATTGAGTTTCTTTAGGGTTAGTGAAAATTCAACCCCAAATTTATGTCCAAATATACCATAACAACATGCCTCCCTTTCTAGCAAACACTTCTCTAAGTTAGTCAGAGATGCATGTTTTGTTTATTTCTATGTACAATCAATAGATACTTACATATATATATATCTTGCCAGGTAGAAGAATTATATATATTTGTTAATTTCAAAATGCAGAACTGCAAAATACTCTAAGTAGTTTTATTTAGGTGAACTTCAGTAAAAGTCCTACCAGTAGATCCACTTATGTGAAGTTCTGGGGTACTCTTGTTTCCAGCGACTGCACTGAGGACAATGTTGTATTTGTTCCCAGGGATGAGACTGGAAAAAGTGTTTTCCGTTTTTGAAATTCTTCCTGGTATGGAGACTTCTTGTATCTTTTTATTACTGTGATCAAATAATACCAGGTTATACAAGTCCACCTTTCCTGAGGAAGGATCCCACTGAACCTGTAGGCTTGTGAGGGTAGTTTTTTCCTTATTAATTTCAAAACGAGGTGGTGGTAAGGGATCTGTAGTTAAAATGAAAAAAGAAAAGAAAACATAAACCACTATTTCTTGCATTGGGATTGTCTGAAGTTTTACACAGCAGCACAAAAAATATTCCAAACCTCTCCCTTTATGTCATCATATTGCCAGTGCTTTTCAAAGTCTTTTTCTTTACATTTATAAACATCCTATCACTGAAACCTGCCTACAAGAGAGCCCTGCAGAATTCAGAAAGGTTACTTCTGCATATATGTATACACAATCACTCATACACACACACACATAGAAAAACACTTCCAGTTGTGGATGTAAGTAACAAACTGGGAAATCTGCTGATAGTAAAACTGTAACAACTTTAATAAGAAACAGCAAGCATGAAAATCTGGAAAATTACACTCAATGTCTCAGTGTAATGTAACTTTATAGATACAACGGTACCACTGGCTTCCATTTCCTAGGACTCACACGAAGCACTTTCTCTCTAATCGGCATGAGCATTTATACAAGTTTAAGGGCAAGAATCCCTTGTTTTTAATATTAACTTCAATCACTTCAAACAGATTCCGATAGAATATGCTTCTGCTCTGCTATAGCATTGTTCATGTAAATTAAAAAAAACCCCAAACAGTATATTGGATAAACTTTTTGGAACTATACTTAATTGGGACTATTTCTTTGAGAAACTCTCAGTGCTCACTATGTTGTTTATTAGGGTGGTCTCAAGTAAAATCACCTGTAAAATACGATAACTCTGAAGGGTTGGCAAACATTGACCAAAACAAGACTCTCACTGCTCGTATTCTCCAAGTGTATTTCCTCACTCACAAGATTTCATGCAAATCAAAAGAAATATATTACATATTGATGTACTAAGGTATCAACATTTATGTCTCCCCAATAAGATTAGGCAATTGCATATTAGAAAGGTATCATAAAACAACCAACAGCAGCAAAATCAATAATTCACAAGTTGGGGGGTTAAAGAATAAAGATTTCCTAACAATTTAACACCTAAATTTGGCTTCCACATGAGTACACTCCGTGCTACTCTTGCCTAGCATCAGACAGGGAGTGTATGGTGCATCCAGACAGGGAGTGTATGGTGCATCCAGGCTGAGAATTGAGGTCTCCATATGAATCATGCCTTAAACACAGAAGAATAAGAGCATTTTTCCAATGCAGTCATTGCTGCCTAGTTACCTGAACAAGGCAGCCAAAAAAATCTGAGATCACATAATTAAAAACTGCACTGCAAAAACTGCAAGGACAAAGCTGAACCTACCCCTGCCCTATGAATACAGCGGTAGGAGGATCATGGAGTTAGTAGCCTTTAAGCTCTTTCTTCTTCAATGCCTGGATGGTGCAGAGGGTTTAATTGCTTCTTATAAAGGTCTGCTGAGACCATACTGGTGCCAGGTTTTGGTGCTACACTCTGCCAATCAAGTATATTACGAATTTCAAGGGAGTATCTCCTTTGGAGACATTCAAAAGCTGTCTGGACATGGTCCTGAGCAACTTGCTTTAGGTAGCCCTGCCTGAGTATGGGCCTTGGACCAGATGACCTCCAGAAATCCCTTCCAACCTCAACCAGTCTGTAACTGTGACTCTAAAAAACACCATGTCCATTTGGCCCCAGGTCACTGCTTAAATTCAGATTACTGCTTTGGACCACAGAGACCCTAGTGCTCTTCAGAAAAAGAGATGAAACTTATATTAACAAAATCAATAAATAAAAACAACTATCTTCTTTTATTGACCTCTTTCTTTAAGGCCAAACTAACTCTGCTCAAATCTGAAAAAAAAAAAAAAAACACCATAAAAAAAATTAAAACTCAAGTCAAAGACCAAGCACATCAAACTTCAGGACAAATAGTTAAAACTTCATCCAGCTACAGCAATTGAGATGGGAGGTTTTAATGAAAAGTGTCAGGAAATCTTAACAATGGGCTTGACTACCAGCTCCACCTATAATATATACTAAGCCACTAAAGACTATTATGCTGGCAAAAGTGAATAGTGGGGGTATAAACTTGTTCCTTGAAGGCAATTGTTCTAATCAGAAAGGTCAAACTTTGGGAGTCAGAAATAAATTCCACCACTATATATGGTCAGATGCACAGGCAGATGAAAAAGTTTTAATTTGACCAATACCAAGAGAACAGTCATGATAACTATCAAGAAGTTTAACTCTCTGTCTGACAAAGTTAGGATAGGGTTGACTGCTCATTAGTCCTGCAAAAGTAATCAACACAGCAATCTGCATTATTTGCCAAATTCTTCAGAAGAAGACACCCCTTAAATTTTTGGAAGTGCTTATACTGTCCTGGGCAATCTGTCTTGTAAGGTACATTAGCAAAGAGAAGAGTTGCGTGCCTAGAAGGTGAAGTTCAGAAAATCAGACTTTATCTAATCTATCTGGTCCAGAAAACAAAACACTCAGTGCTTTGTACATCCGCTAGAACAAAGGAACAATGAGATTGGGAAGTGCCTGGGCTGAAAGAGCCCTGGATGGAAACAAACACTTAAAAAGCCATTTACATTGTTATACAAGTCCCTGCTGGCAACGATACAACACCGATATATCACAGAAATAAAATATGTTCACAAAGGTATTTTTATACCATTTGATACTATATGAATTAATGTCTCCTGCTCTACAAAGGAGTCGTCCAGAAAACTTAAGGTTGTTTGAATTATATTGAACCTCCATTTTCACTTTGTGCCCATAGCTGCTATAAGATACATTTTATAGAAGTGATAGATATGGTTACCTCCAATCCCAAGGACATGACTCCCAAATACAGCCTGTGAGCACAGAAACATCCCTGCCTTACGCAGGAGAAAAATGATAACTGAGATATACAAGCCCAGGACTGAGTAACGGGCAGTTACTGACTTCCAGTCTCAGCCATCTTCCTACCAAATCATCCATTTTTTTCCTAGTTTTCCCTTTTCATAAAACAGTAACCTACTTTACAAGGCCTTTTCTGAAGATTAAGTGAAGAGAGTTGATTTCATTTTTCTTATTAAATACAAATATTCATTTCTTTGGGATGATATGCAACCTAGAAAATCTTTAAAACAGGCTACACGGTTATTTATATTCTTCTTGTACTCTGCCTTTTGAGACAATGATCATAACCATTACATGATTATGGATTATAGGATTATACAGCCTATAGTCAGAGCCATGTCACAGTATTTGTTCCTACAGATGCCTAATAAATCAGATTTGTCCCAAATAATTTGAAATTTACAGGAGTGAACACATGGCCAAGCCATGCTTCTGGCATTGACAGAGATATATATTACAACGGAAAGATACCAGACTGTATCTTGGAAGGTAGAATTTTTAACCTCTTTTCATTGAAATATTTAGACATTTTTCTGACAAAAAATGTATTTGTTAGTTCTCTCAGTATAGTTGGCTTCAATTAAGAGGTAACAAAATAGATCACTGCAATATTTTTGTAGGGAACAATGCTGAAAATGACATTTATAAGCCTATTTTAGAAGATATATTTGAAAAGCAGGGGAATTGCCCAGTTGTTTTTTGTGGATCTCAAGACCAGTATTTCACATCTCAATTTCAATTCAGAACTAAAATTCATAAATGTAACTGTAATTTAGGATCTCCTCATATACTATTGATTTTAACTAGCATTTTAAATAAAGACCTAGTCATTCACTGAAAATACACCACTGAAGTACACAGTTAAGCTAGTGCACAGACATTTGGAGAACTGAGAAATTAAAAAGCATTTTATCTGAAATCAAGCAAGATACAACAAATTATCTTTTGTCATAAAGTAGTTCTCAGTCACACTAAGTTTTACTGAGCACACTAAAGTAGATAATGTGAAAGGATCGACAGGTGTATGTGTTGTCCCAACTTTACAATGTCAAGCATGCTGACCAGTTGTACAGTTCTATGTGACGTTTTAGGCATACATATATTCAAAAAACGTAACAAATGGTAAATATTAATCAGAAATAAATACGCAGACTTGTGCCTACTAACATCTGTAATCTCAGGCTTGCAGTGGAAAATGTATCTGCAGCTCAGAGCTGATAAATGGTGTTATCAGCTTTTTCTTCATTTCCTATTCTACCAAAATAGCACAACTGCCCACACTGTATGTGTGTTTGCGTGCCCGTGTATACCTGGCTTATATAGTGCATATGTGATTGTATTTTCCATCATTTTGCAGGACCTATTTCAGTACTGCTCCAGAGGATTAAATACTGGCCATTTTGAATTGATAAGTCATAGATCAAAATTTCTGGGTAAAGAGACAGACTCCACCTTGGTGGACTAGAGTGGATTACTGCACCTGTATTTTATACTTTAATAGATTTCAGATCTATTCATGCACGAGTGAAATAGCAGCTGCTTTTCTACTCAAAGATTCACGAAGGGTCTCATGTTACTTGAGAGTTCACGCAGTCTTGGTGAGCTGCGTACTTACTCGATTGGAATATCAAACTTGCAAACAACATAGACTTAAGTCATTGTCATAACTATTATTTTAATGTGAAATTAAACACCCGAAAGGCCAAATTAAGTCAGGGATTTGGTCCTCTCCAAGCCTTCACATTACAACTGCAACCACAGTACACACTATTCATCGCTTTCACCTTAAGCCCTTAATCAGAACAGATCACACTCAAAATCTATGTCAAAGAATTTTGGATTTTATAGGATTAGCATTTCTTTGTATAAGAAACATGATGATAAGTGAACTTGTAACAGGAACAAACACATGAAAATTGTAACAGGATTGAATATGATCAAAAATTAAAGTTTCTGAACTAGGTACATAAACAAATCTATGACTTTGTGTACATTTATTGCATTAGGACAATACAGATGTTCAAAGCCTCATTTTGCAAAAGTAAGCACAAGAGATGGGATTTCTCTCACTTCAACCATCTAAACCTCAGGTGCCTGGTTTAACCTAAGGCTTCTTTTAAAGTCAGTGGAGAAAGCTGGGCACCTCCAAAGGACAGCTTAACCCATCTTTCTTAGACAACGGACTCAGGAAGGGAACATCTCTGAGTACTGTGCTCAGACATCACATTTTTAGACGGCTCATGATAGCTCAGTTCTACTACCATTCAAATCAGTGGGAATTTGTTTACGATATGGCTGAAAACATTGCTCATACTTCCATATTCACGGGATGGTTTCCAGGAACACATGCCTATGGACATTCAGGCTCAGTAGGGCATAAAACAAAACTACTGACATCAAGTTACAAAAGAACAGGTGAAAAAGGGCTTCCAGAAATCGGGTTTAAAATGCTGCCCCTAGTGGAATGGTACAGAGGAATAATCCTCCCTCATTCTGCATTGACATGCATAGTATTGACAGTGCAATATGGCTTGTTGACAGGCATAACAAACATTTTAAACATGATCAAGCAATGCGATAGATGTAACTGAATCAAGGGAATTGAGGAACCACGGAGCAATCCAGGTAGCTGTCTTTGCAGGAAACCTACATGGTTCCTCTATTCTTATTTCATGCTTTTGACTGATCTCTGCTATCCAAAATCCAAACACAGACCTCATGTCAATTATGGTCCAACAATTTGCGGTATTTCAGCTTAGACTTCAGTCAGTCTCTTCATTCTGACATCAGTTACATAACATGACTATAATCAGCAGTTTCTTCCAATCACTTTTGTCATCTCACATTCTTGCAAAATCTATTTACTGATTAAAAAAAGTCATAAATGACATGTATAAGGTACTGTCTAAATTATTATGTACTAATCAAAATGTGGTCTAATGTGGTATCTTTTTCTCTACTTCTATGCAAGTGTTCAATAATAGATCTCTACTATCCTGCAATGGTGGTGATTTATACTTGCCACTCTGATAATGGTTGATTTATTCCTTCAATTTTCAAATTACAAAACATCAATATTAAAAACAGCTCTCACGGTGCATGACACTGTTTTAAATCACTGTCTGCACAGAAACCATTACTCATTTTTACCAAGTGACATGATTTGTCCTTACCATCTAGCTATCGCACCAGCACACTTGTCACTAGACTCTTTTAAACTTGAATTACCAGAGCAAACTAATGGAGGGTATTTAATGCATCTGTACGGTGCAGATCCAGATAAAAGGGTCTGACAGTAAATGATGTCTCTGAACCGGTAATTGTTAAGTATTTGGCTGCTGTAATCTTCAATACTCATACCGCAAAATAACCTCTCTGAAGCTAAGATTTCAGGAGCAAATCAGGGAGGCGTTTCATTTAAGACATCTCTGTTTTGAGTTGTGTGTTACCACCAGTCAGATGCTGGACAATACTATATTTCATCATCTTCAAGAAAACAGTAATACAGGTAGGAAAAGTCCGATTCTGCCACTGCAGCCAGTGGCTCTATGTTGTTCATTGCCTCACAGCTGAGTTGTCCACATGCACACACAGACACACACACAGAAAGGGGGCTTTCCTTGGCTGCGCCCTGGCAGGCTGCTGGAACATTTTTACAGCCAGTCATGGACACTGTAGTGCTCTGCACACAACTGTGTATCGTAGCACCTCACTGGCTGTATTCAAGGAAAACGTACAAGCAAAAGATTTCAGCCTCACTTTCTGACTTTTAGACTCTGGTTAGACAGAATAAAAGTATAGAAATGGGCTGAAACAGTAAGCTGTCCTTGAACAGGATCTGCTTGCCATGAAATAGATCGTCTTTTAAACACAGTAAATAAGCTCTCACCTGAGGAACTACAATGCCAACAGGTTTGCATGAGCACAAAGGATGCTACGGGCCACTACTTCTTAAAGCACTCTGCTGGACGGCAGCTGAAGGGGTTGAGGAGCAGCAGAAACGCACTCCCAGCACCGACCAACTCTCTCTGCACAGCACCTCCTCCTTTCAAGCCTGCCGGGTTAACTTTAGGCAGCGCGGTAAAGAGACTTCAAGCACGGGAGATCCCGTCCCGCCAGCCCTGTGAGTTTACAGGAGCTGCAAACGCATCCCCCTCCTCCTCCCCGAAGCCGGGGGGGCGGGTAGGAGAAGCCCCGCGTCCCCCCCGTCCCCCGAGCACCTGCCGCTCCGCGCCGCGCCCGTACCTGTCTGCAGGGAGACGTTGAGGGGCTCCCCGTCGGGCAGCGGCTCGATGCGGAGGTGGTACCAGGTGCCGGCCCGCAGGCCCCGCAGGCTGCAGCCGTAGGAGCCGTTGCCCGCGGGGGCGGGCTGGCAGCCGGCCGCCTCCCCGTCCTCCGAGCGCCCGCTCAGGCTGAAGTTGCAGGAGGGGCCGGCGGCGTCCCACCGCAGCCGGAGGCTCTGCCCGGCGACCCGCTGCTCCGTCAGGTTGGCGCTGCATCCCGGTCCCGCCGCCTCCCCCGGCGCGGCCTGCGGAGAGAGCGGGGAAGGCTCGGGGGGGAGCCGCCGGGCACCGCCGGCGTCCCCCTTTGGGCTCGCCTCCCAACCCCGTCCCCGACGCGTGCGGTGCCGGTGCGGGGCAGACCCGCCTGTGCCCGTCCCCTCCGGCTCGGGTGGGACCTGCGAGGGGCGACCCCCGGCACCGACACCCCCCTTCTCCTCCCCTCCCCCCCCCGCCCCTAGGCTCCCCTTGGCTCGGGCCGACGGCCTCCCGAGGGGGAGTCCCGCTCCATAGCT